CTGCTTTTAAGAACAATAGTTCCTTCTATTCAATTAATGATCGAGAAGTGAAGTTCAAAGAGGTCGCAAAACTTTTATTATTGTGAATGAGACTGTAATAAAAGAAGATATAAAGAAGTTTATAATAGAAAGATATAATAAAGAAGTGTAAATAGGGTAAGGTGACCTATTGTGAATACAGCGAAAAAGAGTACCTATTGTGGATACACTCCACTTTGCAAACGATTTTCTTCGCTGTCTTACATTTTTATGACTCAAAATTTTGTACAGAGGTACTTTGAACTATTACCAACAATTTTGCTTTTAATTCTTTCTTAACAATATCATTTATTTCCTTAAAAATTGTTCGCATTATTCATACCTCCAAAAACGGGAGAAAAAAATAAGCGACAGCAGGCCAAAACAAAGAACCTGCAAAATTATTCGCGGAAACAAGCTAACTGAAGACGCAAAACAGTTTGTTTACGTTTTCATATACTTTTATTTAGAAAGAATGTTAAATAAAACACAAAAAATTTCCTACATTAAATCAATTTAATTTATTTAATTGTTTGATGGCTGCAGCATGTTTCTGTGTTTTTGTAGAACATTTTTATTTAGTCTTGCATCCTGTGTTCACAATAGGTTTGCATCTTGTATTCACAATAGGTCCCTGATGCAAAAGCTGTGTTCACAATAGGTCCATGTTAGACTTTTTTTAAAAGTCATATTGTAGTTTAATTAAACAAATTTTTCGAAAAGTGGAAAAACAAAAATTTGTGAAAAAGATGTGAAAGCCTACTGTGAAAAGGAAAATTTTACGATTAATTAATTACTCGGTTATTATACAAGTGCTATCTATTGAAAATCCTCAAAAACATTATAAGTGATACTAGTTTAGTCGGAGGAATGGAATCCTCGAAGAAGAGAAAGTCATCGCCTCAAGAAGTTGCGCAAGGTGCAATCAAGTCAAAGATGAAAAAATCTCGTCGTTCAAGACGCAGAAAACCATCAACAACAACTCCAAATAATGTTTTACCACCAAATGACATCAATCAGTCAGGTTCTGATAGTGATAGCTGTGATGTTTTGAGTTCTTTTCAGAATCAAACAAACATCCCGCATCCTAAAATCCAACAACAACAACAAGTTAAAAACCAACAACAAAAAGGTAAACAAAGTGAAGAAAAAGTTAAAAAAACTAAGCCGATCATTGTTGAATCCAATTATGATGTGATTAACAACCTCATCAATGCCATGCAGTTACAATCCTCAACTTACATGAAGCTTTTATCTGGAAGAAGAGTTCAAATTTTATGTGCGAATTCTGATGAGAAGAAAAAAATCATCGTTGAGTTGAAAAATAAACAAATCAGATTTCACTCATTCACTGAAGCCGAAGACAAACCTGTAATGTTTGTTCTACTAGGACATTATTATATCGAGCTTGATAGCATGAAAGAAAAGCTTGTTCAAAGTGGATTGCAACCAACCAATGTCACATTTCTCAACAGTAACAAAGAAAATCCTTTATATCTGGTGCATTTTGTTAAAGCTTCAATAGATCTTCCTACATTAACACACAAATATAAATTTATTGGAAATCTTATTGTCAGATGGCAGTTGCTGGATCATAATCGCAAAAAACATACACAGTGTCGTCGATGTCAACAATGGGGACATTCAGCATCAAATTGTGGCTACGAGTACAGATGTGTAAAGTGTGTTAAAGTTCATAATCCGGGCGAATGTGAAAGAACCACAAGGGACAACACCACTGAAAATTCTGTTCAATGTGTTAATTGTTCTGAACATCATCCAGCGAACAGCACAAAATGTAAAGCCTTTGTGGATTATGTAACTCGAATTAATTCACGCCAACGAAAGAATAATCTTAGCACATCAAATAATGTTGAAAATGTGATAAATGATGAAGAATTCCAAACGCTGCCTTCTGGAAAAGTTGCTACGCAGCGCAACGTGCAGAATCACCTACGAAACAACGAGCAGACTCAGCAACGAAACAACGTGCAGATTCAACAACGATCCAAACTGAAGAAATCTTCTTATGCCGAAGCTGTGATGTCTTCCCAATTGCAATCAATAAGAGACCAAAATGAATCTGATGATAATTTTATTGATGACGAACAACAAAGTCAGGTGAGTTTTATTCTGAATCCAAAGAATGTCAACTCGAAAGAAAAAATTAGTCAAGACATTGGCAATACAATGGATGCACTTAATAAGATGTTGAAGGAAATGATTAATCAATTTTCTAAAACATTAACGTTATTGAGTAGTCAACTTGTGAAATTTATCAATCATGACTAGTAAGGTGTTATGTTGGAATGCTCACTCTATTTTGAATAAGAAAGCTGAACTTTCAAGATTTCTTGAAGTTAATGACCACGACATTATAATTTTAACGGAGACGTGGTTGAAAGAAACAGATAATTTTTCATTTCCTGACTTTAATATTTATAGAATTGATAGAGTCCGTGGTGGGGTTGTCATAATGTTGAAGAAGAATATTATTCATTCTCAAATAAAAAGAATCTCGTTAAGTTATGCTGAAGCTTTATCAGTAAAAATTAATGGAAACAGTGGAGACTTTTGGCTTTCAGCTATTTATTGTTCTCCTGCTGCTTCTAGAGATCAAGCTAAACAATTCTTCTCCAAAGTTCTTGACCTAAATGGTGCATTGATTATCGCTGGCGATTTCAATGCAAAGCATCATGCTTGGAACAATGTTTCAAGCTGTAGGAAAGGAGAAGATTTGTATAAGTCGTTAATTGAGAAACATTTTTTAGTCCACAGCCCAGACAATCCCACAATAATTCCCTATAATGGTAAACCGAGCATTATAGATTTTGTTATTTCTAAACAAATTTTAGGTATTTCTGATCCAGTCACTTTTAATGACCTTTCCTCTGATCACCTTCCAATTTCCTTTCAAATTCCTATAAATTCTCTTTCCAATCCCAATAGGAAAATACTCAATTTGCGTAAAGCAAATTGGAAAATTTTCCGAAACATCCTTTCTTATAAAACTGACGAATTAAATGATAAATTCCAAGTCCTTGATACTCCTGAAAAGGTGGACTCTTGTATTGAGAGCTTCTCTGAGGAAGTTAACGCTGCCGTAGAGAAAGCAATTCCCAAGAAAAATCCTTATCGTTTCCGTTATCCTTATGATGATGAATTACGAACACTCACCAAAAATCGAAATCACTATCGGAATTTATACAAAAGTAGTTTGAATCCTGCCTTTAAATCCATTGTCAATCAGTTAAACCGCTTGATTCATAGAAAGACAGCAAAACTGAATTGTGAAAGCTTTGAAAGGACTCTCGCGAATCTAAACATTTATGATAATTCATTTTATCAATTCTCCAAGGCTCTCAAGTCTAAAAAGTCGGAGATGCCGCCGCTTGTTGATAACAATGGAAGCCTCGCTTATTCTGATTCAGCAAAGGCTCGAGCGCTTGCTGACAATTTCCTTAAATCCCACAATCTCACCCATTCCAATACTTCCAAATATGACGCTCTAGTTGGTGAAAAACTAACTGAGCTGAGAAGGAATAGAAGCCACTGCATGTGTTTTTCAACGCACAGTTTGCCTGCCTCTTGTCGCCTTCAAGAGTTGTCTTCAGCCATTGGGGAAGCGCAGTGCAATAAGAGCTCATTCCGGTCTTCGGAGATTGTAGCTATCTGGAAAGAAGCTAAGCTCAGGAAGGCGCCAGGTTTGGATGGAATTTCAACTCTGGTCCTGAGAAATTTGCCAGAAAAATCGGTAGATTTTCTTGGGAGAATATTCAATAGGTGTTACCATATTGAATATTTTCCGTCCGATTGGAAGATCGGCAAGATTATCGCGATCCCGAAACCTGGCAAACCGAAGAATCAACCCATTAGTTACCGACCAATTTCCCTTCTTTCCATTGTCGGTAAAACGTTCGAGCGTTTAATACTTAACAAGATGATGTCTTTTGAGTTTGAAAACGAGCGGTTAATTGGAGAACAGTTTGGATTTCGTGGGGGTCATTCCACTGTTCAACAAATTCAAAGAATCACCGAACTGGCTACAATTGGTTTTAACCAAAACCGTAGCACAGGCTTGGTGTTGCTAGATTTGGAGAAAGCGTTTGACACTGTTTGGCATGGTGGTTTGGTGTTCAGACTACTGGAGTATGAATATCCGATAGAAATAATTAAAATAGTTGATTCCTTTCTATCAAATAGAAAGGGCTTGGTGAGTGTAAATAATTCATTATCAGATTCTTTCAATATTCCTGCTGGAGTCCCACAAGGGTCCATCTTATCCCCACACCTATTTAATATTTTCATTAATAATATTCCTTTGCCATCGAACGCTCATCTTGCAATGTATGCAGATGATACAGCTCTGTTTTGTAGTGTACCTTGGAGAAATTTGAGCCAAGTGCGAAAAAGAATTTTAAAAGCAGCGAATAAGGTTATTGACTTTTTCTCTGATTGGAAGATTAGGATTAACGATTCCAAAACAGAATTTATTGTGTTTACTCGATCAACAATAATGAAACAGAAATTAGCTGCGGACAATTTCTCTTTCAGAAATTGTTCCTTCAATTGGTCGAATAATGTTACTTATTTGGGTGTTGATTTAGATCGACGACTCTCCTTTAAAAACCATATTCACAAAGTTATAAACAGAGCTCGTTCGGTGGTATCCTCTCTTTATTGCCTTTTCCGTAAAAATAATTCTGTTTCATTTCATGCCAAATTGACTGCTTACAAGACATTAATAAGACCTATCATGACTTACGCTTGTCCAATATTTAGCAATTGCCCAGACGTACACTTCAAAAGACTACAAATACAACAAAACAAGTTGTTGAGAATGGTGCTCAATGCACCTTTTTTCACTCGTACGACTGACTTACATAAGGAAGCCAATGACATACCAACAATAAGGCAATTTGTGGACAAGTTGACAAAACAATTTTATAGTAGAGCTTCTAGTCATGAAAATAAGCTAGTTAAGAATTTGGGTAATTATGACATTCGTAACATGGGATTCAGGGTGAAACATCGCCTGCCTAAAAATTTCTAGTCGATGTGACTTGCAATATTTCTTTTTATTTTTACTTATGCTATTTCGATTTTATGTATTTATTTTTATTTTTAATTTTTTACTTTTTATTTTTTTGTTTTAGATTAGGATTAAGTTTACTCTTTAATTAGTTTTAGTACGCATTTTGTAAGGTTTTTATGAATTTTCCTTACTTTATATCATGTCTGTCAAGTCACATCAATTTAATTTTATATGTTCGTCAATGACTTTATTGGTTTAAGATCGTAGGATCAATACCAAATCATACCATTCCATGTTATGTAGAAATCATAATAATCAAGGCAATAAATAGAGATTTTTAAAACTAAAACTACTGTGAAAAATTCGAATATTAATCTCATTCGGTGTCTGTTATATTAAGCTTTGAAAAAAGTTTAAAACCTCAAGAGCTTAACTGTATTCACAATAGGTCACCTTACCCTATAAAGCTCTTTTACCGAATCCCCTGTAGAAACGGGCTCAAAATCATCAAGGTTTGATGAAGTGTCATGCAAAGACTCATTTAGTTCGTTTTCATTGATTGAGGACTCAATAAACGATTGAAACTGCGTACTAAAACGACCAGACACCTGAGCCGTTTCTACGTGGATGTTAACGTCTTTTAAGATTTCAGATTATATAAGGACATGTTCAAGGAGGCGATGTCGGTGCTTAAGTGTGGAGTAAGTATATATTTTAATATAAAATTTTACTTTAATTAATTTATAATTTTCTAAGCTTGGAAAATTTCAGGAAAATATTGTAAATATAGTAATTAAGTTTCCTAATACAAATAGATTACTTATGAAAAACTACATAAAATGAAATCAAATTCATCGATAACTTTAATGAAAGATTTCATTTTTCTTGAAAGTCCTTACCTGTTGAAAATTGAATTACTTAATTCAGCCTCATAAAACAGCTTCAAACTCTTATTGCAGCAATCGTAGAAGATGATGAGATGTCACACAAGCACATGATTTCTATTGTAGGAAGAAAGAATTTTTGCATTATCATCGCTGTAACCTTAAATTCATAACCAAAAAATTAAAATTCTTTTGGCAATCGACAATTTTGTTAATTATAGATAACTTACTAATTTCCACTTGAAGCTTCTCAGCTTTGAAATAATCTTATTTGAAGGAATTAGTGATTGAAATGGTTTAGTTAACCAAATTTTCTTTAAATCTCAGCAATCTATGATTTTTCACCAAACTTTTAAAAAAGTTACATTTTATTTATAAGTTTCAAATTAAAAAAGCGTTCAGATCTTTGAAGTGTTTTTACCTAGGTAATTTATAAATTTGAATCACATGTTTTTCTCTCTAATTTTTACTGATTATTCTAAATGTTGTTGATGATGTGTGAAATAATATATTTGCAATTAAAAACCAACGGAAAATTAAGTGCAAATTGCGCAGTCCTTGAATTGTTTTTGTTGAATGAACTTTATTCTGATGTTTTGTATCTAATTAATTACACTAAGTGATTTAAAAACCAAAAATTCCACGTTTCAAAAATTTTTCAAAAGCTTTCAAAACTAATCAAAAAAACAAAACTGAACTCTTTGTGCTATTTGAAACAGAAATTAGCTAAAGAACCTATTAAAACGATAAAAAGAAGACAAAATGTTTCTTAAATATGTTTCGTTTAACTGTTTATGTCATATTTAGTTGTTTATTTACTGTGTAAATATCAGTTTCTGTTTCAGATAGGTGTTCATTTTTGATTAAAACATTTCTGTCTAAAATTGACATGATAAAATCACATGAGATCGGATACTTTTATGAGGATGCCAACAAATTAAACATTTTCAATGAATTATATTTTTAATCCTTACTATCATATGAAATTGAAAAATATTGAAGAAACATAAAATCAAATCTTGAATCAAGAGTTGGGCAAATTGCACAACTGTAAAGCATAAAAAGAATTTGATTCCACGTATGTAAATAAAACAATTCCAGTTGTCACTGTCGACTTTGCTTTTCTCAAAGTAACAAGTACTTTGAACTTATGAACATTGATGATCAACGAAATGTTTATTCTGATCAAACACAAATTTTCAGTGAAAACAGAAAAAAAATTATTGTCCTTGATCAAATTAAAAATTGCATTCATCATCAATGTTTAAAAGTTCATTATCATTCAATTTTAAATAAATAGTTCATGGATCTTTAATGTCATCAGAAACTGGAATATTGTAAACATTCTCAAGAAACCACTTGAATGGCTTGCAATTGTTTCTGATTTTGAATTCACTTCTTTCGGTAACATTTCCAAAATTAGGATCAGCATTTTTGGTGTAGCGATAGTAGAAGCGTTTGTATTCATCAAGTACAACTTCAGCAACTCGGTTAGTATTCCATCTATAATTTTTACCTGGCATAGTCTGTGTTTCATGAATTAAGAATTTTTTTTAATCATTATTGTCACATTTTAATGCTAATAAAATCTTACTGTAAATCTTTTCTTTCTATATAAGTGCGTAGTATGTGAACACGGAATCACTTCAACATTTCCGCCACAAAGCCATACTTTTAAACTCAACCTGTAAATTTCATTTAAGTTATTATAATATTTCCTTTTTTTTTCAAGTTAACTTGCTCAACATCTTCTTCGCCCCATATCCCAAATTCAGAGTAGGGTTGCTCGCTGGGCTTAATTTCAAGAAAATATTTATTTTTATTTGATTTCTTTAATAAAATTTAAGTAAATTCAATGAATTTAATGTCTTGTCACATTTTCTTGAGCGAATTTTGCTGCAAAAAGAAAGTAGATAACATAAAACACGCTCCACATCTTTTGAAGAAGGCATGATACTGAGTAAACTTTCATATAAATTTTGAAGGTATTTTGAATAAAAGTGTAATATCCCAATCTAAACACAATTAAAATGACAACTTGTCCAATTTAATATTGATGTTTAGTGGTCAAAAGTAGAATCTAAAGTGAGAGTTCAAACTTTCATACCTTCTTTTCCATGCTAAAGTTTTGTATCTACTATCAGTTAATTATCAACTAATTTGGTGATTCAAAATAATATTTAGTACGAAACGTTACTGAATATAAGCAACATTATTTGTCTTTTAAAACGTTATCTACATACAATGATATGATATGGAAGTTTAAATATTGTCAATTCAAACAATTTTATCGAAACCATTAAAGTATCTAATATCAGAAAATTTACTTCAAATTATTCATTTAGGAAACAGAAAAAATGATTTAATTGTGGATTATTAAAAATTTTTATATTTATCAACAAAAGTTCAAGAATTTGAAGATTGAAAAAATACTTTGACGTTAAAAATGGAAGCAGCATTTGATAAGTTGAATATTAGCAAGAAGATGGAAGCATTAATTATGTTCATGGATGTATTGAGAGAATCTTCAATTAATCAACTAATTATATCATGAACATGTTGATTTAAAAATTACTGACGTCTAAATGGTGACAAAAGAACAACGAATTGAATTCTCGATAAAAAAAAGTGTTATTTTTTTAAGAAAGAAGTATAAGATAATAATAACTTGGAAATCTCGTCAGCAAATGAGTTAGTTAAGGCATGTTTCAGATGAAATCCGCTCGAGAAAAAAAATTAAAAAAAATTGAAACTTTTATAAAATATTGTTTTAATCGTTTAATTAATAACAATCATGTCTATAAACTATAATAAAAATTTATTTTTACGGCATTGATCCGTAACGTGCAAAATGGCGGACTTTTCTTTTAATACCGCTCATCATGTCTTGCAGAGTCACTCTGTCAACTTTTCCAGCACAGATATTCCAGTGGTTCAACAATGCTGTTTCACTTTTAATGTTGGCACGTGTATTCTTGAGAATTCGCTTCATAATTGCCCAATATCTCTCAATGGGGCGAAATTCAGGGCAGTTTGGTGGATTCATGTCCTTTGTAACGACATCGACACCGTTAGCTTCGTACCATTCCAGGGTTTTTTTTTGAGTAATGACATGAAGCTAAGTCTGGCCAGAACTTAGTTGGTTCTCCATGCTTTTGAATGAGACCAAGTAGGCGCTTCTCGAGGCACTCTTTGATATAAATATCTGACGTCATTGTTGAAGCAGTCACGTAAGGTCGACTCTTTAGACCGCATGAGCAGATAGCTTGCCATATCAGCAATTTCTTACCAAATTTATCAACCTTGATAAACTTGTATTTGTCGGCAACATTCAAGCGCTTATCGGCAATGTAGAATTTTTGACCCGGTATTTGGTTTTGATCAACTTTTGACCAGCTTTCTTTCCACTTCCAGGTTTTCTTCCGATCGATAAGGTATTCTTGTAGCGATTAATAACGTCTCGCACAGTTGAATTTGCAATTTTCAACTCTTTTCCAATAGCTGAAAATGAAATTGATGGATTTTCCATATATTTTCGCAAAATTTTTTCACGTCGTTCGCGTTCCATCCTGAATAATTTTTAAACTTTAACTTTTTAACGGCTATTAACTTTTAACGGTTATTCACACACTTCTAAGATTTCGAATGTGAAAGCAGTTATTTTTTACGCCGACCATAACTTCAGAAAGTGGTTGAAGGGCACGAGCGGATTTCATCTGAGCCATGCCTTAGATACCCATTTTAATGAAATTTTTATTTCTACTCGTGAAATTTAAATCGATTTTTCACTTTTCAATCAATTTCAGATTTAAGAAATCATTGAAAAAAGCATTTTGTAAAAAACGCTGGTTTTTTTGCTGGTTTGGATTACCAGCATGCGGTTTTTTGGAGGAAAAACCAGCAAAAACCAGCATGCTGGTACCAGCAATGAGCAACCCTATTTCAGAATCATGCATTCCAAGATCGATAAAAAAATCTTTTGCTATAGCATGTGTGGGTCCCATGACTGTTGCAGTTTTTTTTTGAAGCTTGCTTCCGCTGCTTCAGCTCGTCTTTCATTTTTCTTTTAACATTTTATTTCATTTGATCAAAGTAAACAAGAAATGAAATAATATTGAGATAATGATAATTTATTTTAAAAGTCAAATTTGATGATCAAGTTAACACTTACGAGAGCTAATATTTCGGCTTCAATAACTGAAGCGGATTTCGGCTTTTGATTCATTTTTAACAAATTTATAATGTTATTGATGGAATCAATTGTACGAGACAGCTACAAATCCCAAACTGTAGTTTCGTAGAATATTCACATATTGAAGAAAGCACTTTATTGAAAAAAATTGTTCCAAAGTATTTACACATGAGATAATGTGCAAATGTCACTTAAGTAAAAATGCATAGATCATCATAGTATTTGAATTATACTTGTAACATCCTTCACTAAATGAAGTCTTAAGAAATATTTATATATTTAACATCATTTACATGGAGTGCAATTTTTTTATTTATTTCAGAATGATTGTCAATAACATTTGATTGATGTTTGCAAGACTTTTTAAAATCTTTTGTTTATTGGTTTGTCTAGGTAGCAGTAATCTTTAAAAACATAGAATTTTATTCAATTTTTTAATAAAAATCATTCTCAACGATAATCATTCTTAACGATAATCAGCTTAAAGATATTTGCTCAATAAGAGTACGAATATATAAAATAATTTTATTATTAATTATTCATGACTTGGCTTATTTTGACTTATGACATTGTCACGTGAATGTAAATATTTCCCTGAGAACGCATAAGTTTAGCATTACCGAATGTTATCCAATACTCTGAAGTAAACCGAAAATATATCGACCAAGATCTTCATCTTGGTTATTCCAAGTTATACAAATCCTTCTTTCTTTCTCTTCCCCAACAATCACAACAGCGACCCTTTCTATATTAATAGTTTGACTAGACATTTCCACATCCCAATTGCTTAATTTTTCTTTAAGAATCAAATAAAGATTTTGAAGAATTTCTAGCGATGACAAGACCGACATCTCGATTTTTATATAAGACGCGAAATTTAAGGCATGACGACTTTTTCCGGTATTCTCTTTAAAGACACCTGGGAGGTCCATCAATGTGAGTTTTCCTTCCTTCATAACAAGAATTCCATGCAGAAATCGTCGATGTTTAGGATCTGGAGGTTTCGCATTGAAACTGGTGATTTGATTTTTTAACTTTTCAACTGAGAAATTGAGTGGAATCTTCAAAGGTGTGGTTATAACTTTGGTCTCACCATCACATAATAAGAAACAATCAATTTTATATTCATCTCTTATTTTTTCTTTCAAATGTTTCAATTTAATTTCGTCACCATGAACCAGCAACACATTACGTGGTTCACAATTTTGTATTAACTTTAGAATTCCATTTTCGTCTGAATGCGTATTGAATCTTATAAATTCTACCGACATTTTAATTTCAACTATTTGATTATTCTCAAATGTAACTTTCTTTGCTCCACATAAGATTTTGTGACCAACTGTGCCTTGAACACAATAGCCTAGAAGAATCAAAAGAAAAACGAATGTTTGACAAGAAAGTTTTTATAATTATCAAATCAAAAACTTACCTGGTATTACCAACATGTTGTTTTCATTCGATGCCCATTTCTTAAAAATTTGTAAAGATAATCCAGTATGAAGCATTCCTGGTGTTGCAAACACGATCATACTTCCAGGATCATCAATACAACCGCGATCAAATGTTTTTATACATTTAAAGTCAAAAACATTACAATTTGAAGGATTTCTTGTATTCTTTTGATTCGCCCATGCAACAAACATTTTGTAATAACTGTTTGCATTCTCAGCCGACCCCATAGCGAAATAAATTGGGTATTTGAGATTCATTCGATCCCAGTAAGTTTCAAGAAGAATGCAAAGTTTTTGTGCCTTTTCTAATGCAAATACTGGAATTAAAACTTTGCCACCGCATGCTACACATCCATGAACTTTCTTGAGAAAATCTTTCTCACAATACGGTCTGGAATTTCGAAGTGTAGCCTCACTTATGAGAAGATCAGGTTTCAAATTGTCGATCCATGCAGCCCCCAAATGTCGATCTGCTGTCATATTATAATCTCCTGTATAAACAACTGATTGAAATCCCACGCGTATCCAAAACATTGCAGCTCCAAGAGCATGACCAGCATAATATGCTTTAATCTCAATCTCACTGCCAATCATCACTGATTCGTAAAGGGGAATTCCAGTCACTTTCTTCATGCAATCTTTTATCATTTGACTTGTGTAGACAAACGAATTTCCTTTCTGATCGAAAGCACTTTTCTTCATGTCCTCGAGAAGAACTGGAGCAATTGCTTTTGTTGGATGTGTCATGTAAATTGGGCCGGAATATCCAATAATTTCAGTTATGTAGGGAAGAGCACCTTAAAATATTCTCAGATTATTTACCGATTTATCAATTGATTATGATTGTCTCTTTTACCACAATGATCCAAGTGGAAATGAGATATGATCACACAATCAATATGAGATGTTATTTGTCCTTCCGGAACAATATAAGAGAAATCGGGAAACATTCGTTCGTCTTTGAAACCTAAATCCATTCCACAATCTAACATGATATTTTTTCTACCAATTGAAAGTAAAAAGCAACGTTTTCCAACAGTTTCACCAGCTCCAAGAGGTGTTACTTTTATCTGAGCCATTTAAACGATCTTACAAGGTTAAATATTATAAAAAAAATTCCTTGTAATATGCAACAGGTTTTTGTCAGGTTCAAACAATTTTATTTGTTGAATTAGGTATGTTTTCAAAAATTGAATATAATCGTTGCTAATTTAAAATAATTAACCATGATAACTTTTTGACTAAATTTGCTTGCTTATCATTTTTATTGACCCAATGACTGAGTTTCTGTTTGTTTACATTTTAATATGTTTAAATTTCAACACGAATCGGTTTTGCTTTTCCCCTCGAAAAATAGGGTGGAGAACCGAATTATGACACCACTTTGTTTCGGTTTAATTTTATTAAATTTTAACTTACTTCTGTGTCCCTCGGAACATGATACACGCAAGGATCCTCATAAGAAAGCTCAGTTCGTGTTCAATTTTCAAAAGCAACGCAAGAAACTTAAATACAATGTCAACCAGTTATCAAGTTCTAGAAAAAGGAGTTCCAAATTCAAAGGACTATCGAGTTTTTTTCAGTAAGTTTCAAGCTTTTAAACATAAATTGATAGTTTTTTGCATTTTTCGGCAAAAAAGTGAGAGTTAAAAGAAAAAATATCCAATAGACTTTCATAGAAAATTTGCATTATTTATACATTTAGAAATATACAAGAAAAAAAGTAAGTAGGAAATAAACACGTGTGATTATAATTGATAAATGTTACTTCATAGATGAATACCGCAAATTCCTGTTATCACTCAAGGTCATGTTTAAGTAGACATTGAATAAACTTGAGAATCTCTATTGTTTATTTTCTAATTAGGTAGTTTTTTATAAATTGGAAACGTTGACAATTTTTGCGGAAAAGAAATTCTTCGATTTTTAAGGAAATTTTTTCTTTTCATATTTTGATAATCAATAGCAATGAAAGTAGCTCCAAGAGTCCGTTCGTTCATTGTGTAATTTGTCTATTAATATTATTATTATTGATATCAATTTCAGAAAATGCAGCAGGAATACCAATATCACCATTGCACGACATTCCTCTTTTTTCCAATGATAGCAAACAAATTTATAACATGGTCGTTGAAGTTCCTCGATGGACAAACGCGAAGATGGAGGTAATTAATTGTCAATCGATTATTCGCGTGTTTTAAATTATTATTTTCTAATTTATACTCAAGATTACATTAGCTGAGCCATTAAATCCTATTAAGCAAGATGTTAAGAAAGACAAACTTCGTTATGTCGCAAACATCTTTCCTCATCACGGTTACATTTGGAATTACGGAGCTTTACCGCAAACATGGGAATTTCCTGAACATATCGATAAGGCAACCGGATGTCGCGGTGACAATGATCCAATTGATGTTTGTGAAATTGGATCACGAGTAGCTAAGCGAGGTGATGTCGTTCAAGTAAAAATATTAGGAACTCTCGCTCTTATCGATGAAGGCGAAACTGACTGGAAACTCCTCGCCATTGACATTAATGACCCAGTTGCGGATCAAATGGAAGATGTTCAAGATATAGAAAAATTCTTTCCTGGTCTTTTGAGAGCATCGGTTGAATGGTTTCAATTCTATAAAGTTCCTGATGGTAAACCAGAAAACAAATTTGCTTTCAACAACCAAGCAAAGAATGCTGCATTTGCTAAAGCTGTTGTTGAAGAGACTCATCAATTCTGGCAACGATTGGTGTCTAAGGAAGTTGAAAGCAGTAAAATATCTTGGTAATTTCAACAAATTCTTTCAGATTGCAAACAAATACGATTTATTTGTTTATCTTTCTTAGCTTAAATGCCACGAACGAAAGTTCATCATTTTTAATTTCTGCTGAACAAGCTGAAGAGTATTTCGCTAAGGCATCTGATGGTGGTGATGCTGAAGAAGTTAACGAGTCGATCAACAAATGGCATTTTGAACACTTGCAACAATCATCGTAATTATTTATTTGGAGTTAAAAAAGAACGTCCTTTTACTTTACCAGTGGAGAAAAGTTGAATTCTTTTGAAAAATGATTTGGCAAATTCTGAATTTTTAAAAAAATCAGAATTGGTATTGAAAAAATAAATCAATGAATGGAAATTTATATCAATTGTGTTTTGATTATCTGCTTTATGGCATGTTTTAGCACTTACATAACATCATTAAAAGACGTAAAATATGGTGTTGTAAGTCCCAACATGAAATCACTTTGTTTATTAAAAATCTTCGTAAAATTTCATCGTAGATTATTAAATGAACTTTTATTTCAATATTTCATGAATTAGCATCTAACATTTCGTGGCCAATCGCAAGCTTTAGTAACTTGATTTAAATATAAACTCGGTCCGCATGACATTAAATGAGCTCTCCCATGACCACAATTGTAGAAAGTTCTGCAACAGTTAGGGTTCGCAAAGATTCCATCACCAGGACAAACGAAAGCATTAACTTGCGATGAGATGAGAAGCACAAAACCGATGAAAAGAATATGTGTTAATTTCATATTGTTCGTTGTATAGTCAATTAACTTAACTGAAGACAAAAATGATTTAAAATGGTTAATAAAACTTGAACAGTAATGTTTCACAAAACTTACTGTTAAATTCTGAAGTCGGCAATAATCACTGAACAAATATTTGATTGAGTTCAGTTTTTTATACAAGCACATTATCATTTTCATCAGAGTATAGATTTTAAAAGCCAGAACACTGAAGCGATTAAAAGTGCTGGGGAAATACGGCGTCTTATAAAAAAGTAACGAGCCATCTTTTGATAATGCAATCAAATTAATATGGAAATTCCATTGATACGGATGGAAGTTCTACTAAACGAATCCAAAAATGTTACGTCATTCCTGCATTTATTTATCTTTCATCATTAATTAAAAGAATTTCATAATTTTATTATTTGCTTTAAAAAAGTTAAAATCTTTTAAGTTGGAACAAAAATTTGATTTGGGATTTCTTAAACGTTTATTGACAAAAATAAATTCAATGATATTCTCACTTTTATTTTAATATTTCATTGAATTAACATCTAACATTTTCTGGCCAATCACAAACTTTATTAATAGGATCAAAATGCAAACCTGCACCACATGACATCAAATGAGCAGTGCCAGAAGCGCAATTGTAGAAAGTTCTACAATCATTTGGATTTGCAAAGATCCCATCACCAGGACAAAAGAAAGAATTTCCTGGATTCTTTGTAGTTGGCGGGTTAGTCATTGGAGGGTTTGTGACTGGAGGATTTGTTGATGAACCCTTAATCGTTAATTATTTATATTATTACATATTCTGTTTATTTGGAGATTTTATTACTTACCGAATTTCCTCGAATTACGTTATAGACTGTAGAAATGAGTGGATATGATCCCCCTCCACAGCTGTTTCCAAAGTCTTCATTATCCAAATCCCAGAACATTGCGCCACCAAGATTTGTATTTTTAATAAAATTAGCTTTCTCAGTCACTGATTTGACATCGTCAAACCCAATCCATTCATTACCAGAAAAGACGTAAGGAACTTTTTGTGTGCTTTCCCAACGATAATTGAATTGGCCCGACCTGATTCGTTGGCAAATTTGATTATATTTCACTATGCCAGCTCCTGTTGCAGGTGCACCGATCCCATTATTATTAGCATTTACTAAATTGAATGAACCACCATAAGTTGGAATTCCAACAATCAACTTAGATCGGTCAATCCCTTCACGAAGCAAAACATTTACAGCATCTTCGACATTGGCATCAGTTGGATCAAGGGAACTTCGATGAAGTGCAGAATGATGTCCAGTTTTACCTTCCCAACCACCATGCATGTCATATGTCATTAAATTGACAAAACTACAAGCATTAAAAATGCTTTTGACATCGTAAGACAAACCAGTTCTCCAATTTCCAGCACCAATTGCAACAGAAAGGGAATATGATGATCCCAATGCATTTTTTAATGCTTGAAGAAGTAAAACGAAATTATTTTTATCATGGGGTGAGTTTTCATACATGTTTGGATATTCCCAGTCGATATCTTTTTCAGAAAATAATAAATTAACTTATTACTTAATGAAGTGTTTGAATGAATGATCTCTGAACTTACCAACACCGTCTAAATTATGTTTTCGAAGAAATGATAAAATGTTGGAAGCAAAATTGCTTCTCGAATTGGGATTTGCTGCCATTTGAGACCATACTGGCACTAAACCATCATTCCCCCCCCCAACAGCCACAATTGTTTTTAGATTGGGATTTTGTGCCTTCAAGTTATTCATTCCGTTAATGAACCCTGAGATGAAATGAAATCAGACGTAGAAAATTCTTAATTTCATCTCAGAAAACTTCTTACCAATAGATTGGCCTTCACTTCGCCATAAATAATTTAATCCACCATTAGAATCGAGTCCGATAAAACTGTAAATTACGTGAGTGCAAATTGAAGGATTGATTTGATTAGCGCTTATCTCTGCCATCCAATAACAAACCACTTTCTCTGAAAAATGATAACTTTTAGTTTTTTCCATGCAAGCTTTAAAGTATTCAAAAGTTTTTTCTAACTTTGTGCATCAACTTTGCATAAAGTAACAATCACAAGACTGATGAATAAAATATTTCTTAGTTTCATCTTTTCAGTTGTATTTTCCACAGTTCTTAATTAAACTGACTGAACCTGAGATCAAAACCTTCTTTTATATACCAAAAATGACTTCTATTGTGACACTTATTTATTTGCGATAGATAAGAACGGAAGCGCGACTAAGGTGAAGTTTAAAACTTGATATAAAAATTCGGTATAATTTACTGTTTAATCCTGAAATAGAATGTTTTACTTAATGATAAAATGATTTAATTGTTTTTATTTTTGAAACGAAAATGATTACTAAACTTTTATTTTAGCGAATTCGTTCGTTTATAGAAGTTATCTGCTGATAATGCTTGAATAAATATATCGATTAGTAAATATTGAGAACAGTCATAGGCAACTTATTCGTATGAAGTACGTTCAACAAGTGTTTTAAAAATATTCATCGATATGAAAAGTTTGCTATTTTAAAAATGTTCAAATGATTTTATTTGGAATGTTTGTCAAAAGAAATTTTAACTTCTACAAAATGATGATCCCAAATTATTTTAAATTTGATTAAAAATAGTTATCTTATTAGCTGAAAAAAGAGCGACAAACACTTATTAGAAGACCCACTTCATAATCAATTTAGATCACCAATAAGATCGTTGACCCATAATGAAAATCTGAACCATTTTATTGAACCTCTTCATAGTTTTGAGCGATAAAAAATTCATTTCAGGAAGAAGATTTCGCAAGTGATTGAAATTATATCACTTACATATTTTAAATATATCATTAAATGAACCATCTTAGACATGCCTTCATATTTAACATTTATAACATTTATGTACAACAATACAAAGAAATTATTAATTCTAAGGGAAAAATTGATATAAAAAGGATGATCATTATAAATTATTAGGATGGAATGTCATATCAAAGTTAAATTTGCACAAACTCAATTTATCATCTCCTTCCTGTGATATCATATCACAAACGCGTTTTATTGTTTATTCTTGAATTGGCGAGAATAATTCTCAGTATTTTTCTTTGTGACTTCTTACATCATTTGAATTTAGTACACTTTTAGTAAGAAAAAAAAACAATTCTATGGAAAAATGATAATCTTATCAGAAGATATCAAGCTTTCATGCAAAAAGATTTGTTCATGTGCAAATATAAACCTTATGCGTATTTTCAGCACATCCGTTCCTTTTTAACATGATAACACTTATCTCAAGAGATATCTTTACTTAAATTGCATATTTAAGGGAGCTTTCCTATCACATTCACTTCAAACTTTTAAACGTCTTCTTGAAAATACATTCAAAACGTTCCGTGATGGAAAAAGTTATCAAAAAAGTTTCAATTATTTTCGTTGTTCTGACAATAATGAAGGAATCGAGAGGTCAGAATTATGTTGGAGACGCAACTTTTTACACGGAATGGCGTGGTGGTTATGGATCATGTGGGTTGGATCGCGCTTTGTACGATCCGTTTTATGTGTGTGCATTATCGAGGCATTTCATGGCACTGCCACCTGGAATGACAAATCCCAACAATCATCCTAAATGTGACCCTCAATGGTGCGTAGAAGTTAAAGGAATCCGAGGCACAATTGTTGTTAAAGTTAGTGATACTTGTTGGGGTTGTCAAGCATATGACGTTGATGTAGCTGATGCCGTTTATCATTATCTCGATGATCCCAACAAGGGAAGAGTTAGGATGAACTGGAGATTTGTTGATTGTCGCACAAACCCGCCAGGTGTAAAATAATTAAGAATCTTTAAACATACTGAAAAGCGTCTGTAATATCATTTTCTATTTCTACTTCAATTATTATTCATTCAATAAATAAGAAATGTAAATTTTTATGACCATTCAACCTGAACCCAAAAGTTTCTTTCACTTTTATTTTAATATTTCATTAAATTAACATAAAACATTCTCTGGCCAATCACAGATTTTTTCAATTGGATTGAAACGTAAGCCTGTTAGACATGGCAACAAATATGCGGTGCCAAAAGCACAACTGTAGTAAGTCGTACAATCAATTGGATTCGCATAAAGCCCATCACCAGGACAAACGAAAGGATCGCTTGGGGCGTCTGTAATTGGTGCATCAGTAGATGGTGGAAGTGTCACTGGCGGGTAGGTTGGAGAAGCAGTCGATGAATCCTAAGTCACGAGTTTTATGATTTAACAATGTTGACTTTATGATTAAACATTTTTATCGCTTACCGTATCATTTCCTCCAATTATGTTATAAACTGTTGAAATAAGTGGATATGATCCCCCTCCGCAACTGTCTCTATAATCTTCATTATCCAAATCCCAGAACATTGCGCCACCAAGATTTGAACTTTTAATAAAATTAGCTTTCTCAGTTACTGATCTGACATCATCAAACCCAATCCATTCATAACCATAAAAGACGTAAGGAACTTTTTGTGTATCATCCCAACGATAGTTAAATAGACCAGATCTAAGACTTTGGCAAATTTGGTTATATTTTACTGGAGCACCACCAGCTGCTTGTGCACCAATTCCATTTTCATTGAGATCTGCTAATACAAATTTACCGCCATAAGCTGGAATTCCAACAATCAACTTGGATCGGTCAATCCCTTCACGAAGCAAAACATTTACAGCATCTTCGACATTGGCATCAGTTGGATCAAGAGAACTTCGATGAAGTGCAGAATGATGTCCAGTTTTACCCTCCCAACCACCATGCATGTCAAAAGTCATTAAATTTACAAAGTCACAGACTTCAAAAATATCTGAGACTTCGTAAGACAAACCAGTTCTCCAATTTCCAGCACCAATTGCAGCAGAAAGGGAATATGACAATCCCAAAACTTTCCTTAGTTCTTTAAGAAGAAAAACGAAATTGCTTTTATCCTTGGGTGAATATTCATACATATTTGGATATTCCCAGTCGATATCTTTTCAGCGAAAAAATCTCTATTAATTTTATTCTCATTCAGATGTTTACGTGAACTTACCAACACCGTCTAAATTATGTTTTTCAAGAAATGATAAAATGTTGGAAGCAAATTTACTTCTTGAAGTTGGGTCTTCTGCCATTTTAGACCACACTGACACTAAATCAAGATTCCAACCACCAACAGCCACAAGGGTTTTGAGATTGGGATTTTGTGTCTTCAAGTTATTCATTCCGTTAATGAACCCTGAGATGAAATGAAATCAGACGTAGAAAATTCTTAATTTCATCTCAGAAAACTTCTTACCAATAGATTGGCCTTCACTTCGCCATAAATAATTCAATCCACCATTAGAATCGAGCCCAATAAAACTGTAAACTACGTGAGTGCAAATTGAAGGATTGATTTGGTTAGCGCTTATGTCTGCTATCCAATAACAAACCACTTTCTCTGAAAAATGATAACTTTTAGTTTTTTTCATGTCAGATTTAAAGTATCCAAAAAAGATTTTTCTAACTTTGTGCATCAACTTTGGCTAAAGTAACAATCACAAGACTGATGAATAAAATATTTCTCAGTTTCATCTTTTCAGTTGTATTTTCGACAGTTCTTAATTAAACTGACTGAACATGATATTGGCAACTTCTTTTATATCCTAAGAATGGCTCCTATTATAAAAATAAAGAAATCACGTTTTATCTACTGACGCTTATTTGCGTTAGATAAGAGCGGAAATTTGATTAAGGGGCTTGAGAAAATTTCCTTGTACCATTGCCAAATTAAAGTGTCTATCACAATGTTAAGAAATTAGCGACATTATGATACTTGACATTCATCAGAACAAATATTTAACTAGCATAAAACAATAAAAAACTGATAAGCTTTATATGATTTATCAAAAACAACAATTCGGAAATTCCATAAATAAACTGAAAAATTTTAAAAAAGCTTTGGATAAAAAGTGATTGGAGAGTTTAATCTGAACATTTCATCAAAGACAATCAAATGTTGAACTTTATTTATTTAAGTTGTATCTTTAACATTTCAAACGAAAGTTTGACTTATGAGTTCAAAATATTCTTCCAATGAAGAGAGAACGATAAGATTTTTATCTTTATTTACAAGAAATGATTAATAATCAACTGAAAATTAAGAAGTTGAAAGTAAAATTTAAAAACTCTTTTTATTGATTTGCACTTCCGATTAGCATTTTTTATTTTTCTTCCCAAAATTTATATTTTTTACAATAATTCAGGATACGAATCCAGGAGATGATTTGGATTCAAATATTTCAATCAATTGCCGTTTTAAATTGCATGATGTAACAAGCATTAAAATATTTAAGTGGCAAGTATTAAATAAAAACATTTCATTTAATTTTCCTGAAGTTAAGTTTAAAACTTTTTTTCTTCGCTGATGAGTGAAATGATGAGAGTGGCGCATCCACTTTATAAAATGTGACTGTTGATCTTCTCAATCACCATCTCTTCATCATTGGCGTTCGGAGAATTTTGCGGTGCTGGCATTAGATTCTATAAATGGACGTGTGAAAAATGAGTTTATGAAAACGAGAGAAAGTTCCATTTACCTGATTTATAGACGAAAATTGTCTATCACCGGACACTAAATTACTACAATGTGGAACAAGTGCCATTGAGGCATTTCCACTCTCACCAGCTCCTACATCCATTCCATCTTCATTCCAATTCGCACAGCCAACCTGTTGAGATGATTCAGTTTTTGGTGGTGATGTGTGGAGTTGCGTGAGTTGTTGTGTTAATGCAAGTGTTCCAGCCGCTGATACATCAACGACGCTCCAAATGATTGGGCCAAAAGTTGTGCCAACAGGCGTACATAAACAAAATTGCGATTTAAATTGACCAACTTCAGATGGACTCACAAGATTTATAGTTAAAATGTGAGTGTCGTTAGGCGCAATCGGTGGAACAAGCATTTTTCCATCATTGTTGATCTCTGAAACGAGCTTAAGATAGCATCCTTCAGGCCAGGTGACAGTTCCATTATTCTCAACAAGCCAACTTTGCGTAAATTGAGTATTTGGTGTTACAGATTCACCTAATCCAACAGTTAACTCTTTAACAACACGCATTGATGGCATGGGTTGAAGGCCATTGTTCTGTGAGCTTGCGACAAAGTCAAAATAACAACCAACAGCTGCTTGAAGATTCCTAAAATTGATATTTACTCTCAAAATACTTATCAGGAAGTTGCGAAATATCATGCAAAATCTTGAGGGTCACATAACTACACGCATACACACACGCACATTAAATACAAAAGTGGAAAAATAAAATGTCATCTTTACGAAACATGCAACAAAGGGGAATGTAAACAAAGGAATTTGAAATTTGACAACATTCAGATGATACATACCAGTTGTTCATTTCGAGAAAGAAACGAGCTGTAGCATAACTAAGCTCATTTGCAATGTTCTGAAATCCAACAACCAAATCATCTTTCTCATTAGTTTGAAGTGAACTAAATGTATTTAAAAGTTGATTGATGTCAGGATTTTCTTTAATTCCATCATCGCAATCCATTTTGCTTTGTAATCTTTACGTTGTTAATTGATTTACGCAATAAACAGACGATTTTAGAATCCAGTGTATGATTTGCTTAGCACTTTTACAATTTCTATTGGATAATTTCACCAAGAACTTAAATTTTAAGGTACGAAAGTCGTAGGGGGAAAGTAATGTAGATAAATCTCGAATATCTTTGCGAGGGGAATTTAAACTTAAAATTACGTTAAAAGTTTTGTTGATTATTTTCAAATATTTAATTAAAATATATATATAAAATAACTTTTAAAAAGCTTTTTATTATTCAAATAATTTTCTCCTCATGAATGATTAAATCTTTCATTTTCCTTGTTTAAACCATTTCGGTATAGCTCCTGTATTTTCCCGACTTACACTTGAAGAAAGAAAGTTTGTAGGTGGTTTTGGCTTCTCAAAGTTTTTATCGTTACTTGGACCTGCAGAATCTGAGGAAGTCGAAGAATCGCTTTTTCTAGCATCAGCAAGAACACGAGAAGCTCCTGTACCCGTAGACAACTTTTCATACAGATCCGGCTTAAGAAAGTCATTTGTAAGCGTTGGATCACATCCAAAGTGAAGTAACGCAGATGGAACACAGTTCGACTCAATGAGTGTTGTGTTCATATCTAGTATGGTTTTTGGCGGTGTTGTAACTGAAATTTCATCCCAAATGTAATCATCTAAAGTCTAAATTAACTTAATATCTACTTACACAAATAAAATTCCATCTCAGAATCAATCAAAAATTGTTTTACAAATTCCATGACAACACCAACTGTTTCAACTGTAGAGAACTTTGATTGAATCACGTAACGATTCGGGAATTGAATTCGAATTGCACATGACTTGTACATCGATAGTTGATTTAATATTTTCTTATTCTCTTCTAATTTTCGCAACTCTGTTGTCATCAATGGCTTGTTTTCGATTTCATCCAATTGGACTTTCAGATCGCGATAAAGCTTTCGGACTTCAGATTCAGTAAGTTCAAAGAAAGAATCGGGGAGATCAACATTTGATGTTTGCATTGAATCCAATGAAAAGACGATTGTACCTCGACTGTCAAGGATGTTAATAATTTGTTCAACTTCCTGCTCCATGCTCTCTTCAACAAGTTCATGATTTAATTGTTTAATTGGTTTCACGGCTTCATCAGTTGATTTGCTTGGCAATGCTTCTTCCTTTACAGGTTCATCAGTTTCCATTGGTTGCTCTGGTGTTTTATCAGGAGTCGAAACTTCTTCTTTCAATAATTGAATATTTTTAAACTGGAACGTGTCTGAACATCCAGCATTTGAGATAATTCTTGGTTTTTCTTTCTCTATAATTTCCTCTTTTGGCTTTTGAGGAAGAGGAGCAGAAATATTAGCTTGAACTTTCAAACTTTCAGGATCTGTATTGATAAGACGAATCAAAGCTCGACCCCCAGAAGAAAGTCCCAAACTCTTTAATGTCGTCTTTTCGAGAGCGTCGCCAAATATTTCACTTCGCATGTAAATCACAACGGGGCTTTGATCTTCAGATGATTTCAGCGGGCACAATATGGTAATCACATCTTTCAATGATGTTGATGATGGAAAACTTCCATTCACTCTTGATCCATCCTCAAGTTGCACGCAAATTGTCAAATCTTGCTCTATTCGCTTCTTTTTAGCTTCAACCATTTCTAAAGTACAATTATTAGGTAAACCAGCGAATCGAAACATTTGAGACAAGTCTAGAAGTTTGTTGTGACATTTCAAGTCATAATTATTAGGATCGAAATCAAATTTCTTGCAAACTTCTTCTAGAATCTGAAAGAATAACAACATGCGATGACAAAGCAAGAAAATTGGAAGTTTGTGAAATTACCCATAAAACAGTCTTATTTGGTTCAACCTTCACTGCTTGTCTACGGCCATGATGCGTTAGAACTGTTACAGATTGCATTCTGAATTCAAAGTGATATATTTCCAATAATATTTAATGAAATTATTTAAAATGCGAAAACGTAAACAAACTCAAAATTATAATCTAATCTTGATGGTTAATCTTAACCTTAATCCTAACCTTAATCAAACTCTGGTTTTAAAGAAATTATTTTAAGCATGAATCAAGTAAAAATATTTCTATACTCGCATTAATTTATTCATATACTAATTATCTTATCAAGTTGAGGAAAGTAAAGATATCTAAGAATGATGTCTTTTGATTAAATTTTAAATTATTTAAGAATTAAATCCTGAGATTGAGAGTGTAGATGATTGTATTTCATGAATGAATTTTCCTCTGATTTTTCCTCTCGCATGAAAATATTCGTCTCGTCAGTTACTTCTCGGGAGTCAAAACGTTAAGACGGAAAATATCGCTAGGATAAAACTAAAGTCTTAGGATACAAGAAAAAAATTAGCGGTGAAAGTACGAAAAAATAAAAGTGGAAATTTCTTAGATGAAAAATGGCTGATGACGATATATTTGTAAAACGTGTAGACTTCGAAGTAAACAATAATCAAACGACACCAATTATCCCAACAAATATTAATGGAAATGCAATAATTAACGATATTGAAAAGTCAAATGAACCAGAAGCAGCACCGTCATGTACTACAAAATTTTGCATTTTTCTCGAAAAATTTGGAATAAAATCTGCACTTAGTCATATTGGCCTGCTGTTGTCACTCGGTTTATTTTGCTATGGAGGCGGATGGGTAAAAGTCAATTATTCATTAAGTGTAATAAAATCACGGAAAATGTAATTTCCTGCAAGCAATTTTTTCTGGATTTTATCATGTCGTCTAGACTTATCGCGATCTTATTAATTAAACGTTTTTCTTTTTTCGGCACATTTTCGGTTTTGCAAGAAGTGAATTTAGAGGAAAAATAAGATGAAAAACGGAGAATAGGCGTTTGAGGAGAAAACTACAATAAAAATTTACTGGTCGGTAATGCGATGCTATTTATAACAATAAGGCATGTGCCGGCGAACGTAATTACAATTGAAACCTCTCCTTCGTGTGAAAACAGAAAGAAGCGGCTTAAATATTCAAAGAAGCCAACAGGAATAAATTATCTTCAATCGTCTGAATCGGATGTCGAACTGCGTTAATTAATGATCATGAATAGAAAAGAAATTTCATTTCAAATGGACTGAGAGTCTAATTGCAAAGTGTGAATCATTTAACGAAGTCTTAATTAACATGAAATAATTGTTGATTGTTGATTCAAGCACAATCAATTATCCAGGATATCACACAGCGTATAATGAATGTGATTAAAGCTTCTAAAAAAATAAAGCAGCACCTAAAGATCAAATATCATCAAATAAGTTTCAAGGTGGATTAAGATTAATGACTTTCCTATCATTCTTGTTTAGAAACAATCAGCTTTATTTATGATCTGTTTATTTTATCCTAATTCTTCACAAATCTTTAAATTTTTTCGACTTTTAATTTATTTTTAAGACAGCAAAAATCATTTACATGTTGATCTTCTACTTCCATGAAGATTAAAACATTAGCTGGTGATGAAAAGCAAAAGTTTATTCAGCCGTCACGATAAATTTTTCTTTGTCATAAAAATATTTTCTGATGACAAAATGTCTAAGTTTTATCGAATTTCAAATCACATGTGAAACGTGAGAAGGAAAGATTTTTAATTTCTTTTGCCGTAATAATGAAAATTTTAGTTTTGTTATCGCAGATATTATTTTCACAATAGAAAGAAACGAGAGTAAATTCAAAGAAGTAAAAAGTCATTAAAGAAATATTTATCAAAGAGTATATTGGATATTTGCCAAAAATACCGCAAAGACTTTTTCCTTCTCAGTTTACAAACGCTTTAACAATGATAGAAACAAGTTGCCAAAGCATCGTTTGATTTCTTTTTTGGCGGATGAATAATTCTTGAATAAAATATTAGTCAAGTGAAAGGAAACTTTGGCGGTGATTTCTATAAATATTACTATTTAATGATCACAGTTCTTTGGACCATCAGCTGGCAACAATTTCAGGTAGTTTGACATGCGCAATTCACTTTCAAGTTGACGACGTCAATGTCATAAGTGCGCTAAGGGTCGATAAGGAATAGCAAATTTTCCATTTGCATAGACAGGAAAACGAAACCGAATTATATTTTAATATGGAATGTTGGTGACTTTGTAACACGATATTTTTTTAGCTAATGATTTATGAGACATCTCGAGATGCTTGACTTTTCGTCAAAGAAAATTTTCTTCTTATTTGTTCCCTTTTCTGCTCATTAATCACAATCGGGAATTTCCCCGCACGCGGTTTAAAACCACGAAAAAATGAACATGACCATGCTGTTTTATGATTAATTTAAATCGATTTACCAACTCATTATGTGCCGTTGAAGAAAATCTTTCTCCCCTGCAGAGAAGTTGTGTTAATTTAAAAGTCGTAAAACTATTTTTAGGACATTCTGGTATATATAGTTGGGTGACTTTAGGAGCGATTGCAACATCGTTTCGGAAACGACCTTTCAATTCGTTCTCGTTGTGCCGTGGCATTTAGTGAACATCATAAAAAGTTTATGATACATTCACGCTGTTTTACGAGCATTCTCTTCACCAACGAATGCGTTTCAAACTCTTGTTATGTGGTGTAATGATTTTAATAGTAATTGAAAACGCCTTTCTTCTTTACTTAAGAAAAATTAAACGATAGCAATTATATTATGAGTATTCCGCCCTCAAAAGATTTATTTAACAACGATAAAAACTAAAATGTTTTATACTCAATAAAATTATGCAAATTTATGTCAAAAAGTATCATAAGTGTCGCATATTTATATTTTAATGGAAAATAGTATAACTAGATCGATTTTTCCTTTTCTTCAGTGACTCATCTCAATTTTCTTAGTGATTTCAAATTGATTTTTAAATTATATTGAATTAGGTTAATAATTATAGTGAACAAACAGAAGAAGTTTTCCAGGAAAGTTTTATTAGGTTAATTATAGGAATAAAAATAAAAATTTTCATAATTATTCGCCTCAGGGAAATGTTGGAAAATTCCATAAATAAATATGAAAGTTCATGAATGTTTCGTTCTCATGCTTCATTTATTTATTTTTTCATAGTTAAAATATATTCAAAACTTATTGCAATAAAGTTACATAAAGAAATTACATGGGAATGATAAATAAATTCACAGATAGTTTAATAAACAACAAAGTATCAAATAAACTAATAAACATTATAATTTCCCTCAAGAATAAATCGCTATGTTTACCTATCATGTCATCTCCCTTCATTACCAAGAGATCATTAGCTCAATTTACTTTCTTATTTACATCATTTTCCAACGTTTTAAAATAAACATCTTCATTGAGGTGAAATATAAAGCAATAAAAGTTTTCTCGATGAGTCTCTCGATGACGTCTTTGTTAGACAAATTGAAATTCCTAATGCGTGATGATGAAAAAATAACTTACGACACCACTCCACCTGATTACAATCTTAAGAAAATAAAATACGATTAAAGCATCTTGCATCATAAATTTGGCAATGAAAAATATTTTCCATCTCGATGTCAAAAAGCGAGGGAGTTGAAAATTCGGAGACAAGAAAAAAAGAAGAAAGTTGTCGGAGTTGATATCACCTTTGGTTAAAATGAAACATAAATTACATCCAAGATTGTTTTCGATAGCCATACCCACCAGTTCTTTAGACAGCCGAAAAGAAAGAAAGAAAAACTTGACATGAAAATATCACATTTGAAATTTTCACTGTCGGAAAAACTGTTTGTATCGTTGAATAATCTCAATGTTACAATTTAATTTCGTAAATGAAAGATTGTTTTAGGCAACATGTGATTGAACGTTTGATGAAGGCCAAACATTTTTGAGAGAATTATCTCATCATTATTCTGATAGGTTTTCACCCTTCCTTGATAGTGATTTTCCTGTTTACATTTTGGCGCCTTTTCGTGCGTAAAATGAAAGAAAAATTCGTGGCGTTTAACGTGTGTGTTTTATTTATGGTTCTGGTTAGTGAATGATAATAAATCCTTCCTGTTTATGTATTGACAGGTATTTGTGACATTGGAAAGGCCAGCACTTGAGGCTAATGAAGCAGAACTTCGAGCCAGTATCACCATAGCACGTGAAAAGTTCATTGAAGTCATTCTCGACGCTCACACAGAAGATTATCTTGACATTCAATATCTAACAGAACAACTTGAAGAATATGAACAAACAGCACAAGATGCAGTTGAAGGCAACTTGCAGCTTGTTTTCGAAAAGTCAAACGATACAGAAGTTGAGAAGTTTCCAGCAAAAGGAGAGAAATGGTCAATAATGCAAGCCGTTTTCTTTGCTGCAACTGTGTGTACGACAATAGGTGACTTTAATTGAATAAAAGTAAATTAAATTTATGAAATAAAGCATTCATTATTCATAGGATATGGCAACATCGTGCCTGCTACGTTCGAAGGAAGATTATTTTGTATTTTCTTTGCAATCATCGGAATCCCATTCACGCTCACTGTTATCGCTGATTACGGTAATCTTTTTGCCAATTCCGTGTCATGGATTGCAAAAAGATGTAAATCGATGAGTAAGAATCATGAAACATTAATCAGATACAAATATTTTTAATAAAATAAATTTAATTATCTTAGAAATGTGTAATAAAGACTCGAAGATTCGAAAGTTTAAAGGAAGAAAATGGTTATACGCAATCGGAGCTGTTATATTTCTTGGAATTTATATATCAGCTGGTGCTGCTGTCTTTGACGAATGGGAAGAAGGGTGGACATTCTTCGACGGATTTTATTTCTGTTTCATCACAGTAACAACTGTTGGTTTCGGTGATTTAGTTCCGGGAGAATATTTGATGCTACTTTGTACAGTTTATATCCTAATTGGTCTTGCATTAACCAGTACAATCATTGAGTTAGTCCGTAGACAGTACATTCAAAGTTGGCAAAAATTACAACAAATGAAACTTGGATCATTTGCTGATTCTCTCAAGCGCCTTGGTGAAGCTCATGGTGCAATCGATGTGAATGATTTACGATCAATACTTTCAGTCGTAAGTACATTAAGAATTTCAAGTCAAAGGAAACTTCCAATTTTACATTATTTTTTCAAAAGGTTTCGATGCCCAAACGTGATAAGAAAGATAAGAAAAATAGCGAAGGTGAAGTGGACACGTTAGAAGAACTTACAAAAGCAATTCTTCGAGAAGTTAAAGTGAAACAAATCGAGAAACCAAAACTCGTTCAAATCATCATTTACGAATCGTCAGTTTAAATATTTAATAATTCTACTCATTCTCTTTCTCATAGAATTCAGTTACTTATTGTGTAAGCAATTAGACGTCCTTAACGATAATTTTTAAAATTTACAGAAAGCCTAAACTACTCTCATTTGATATTAAAATGAATCTTTTCTAGGAAGCACTTTTATAAATAATTAAATAAAATAAAGTTTGTAGTCGAATTCATGAAGATGAAAAGGAAAACATGAATTTTTGACATTTCTATTAAATTATTTACGCCTACGCTCATTTTGTCACGTCCACAAGTATTTTCTTCTATATTATATTACCAAACCAGTGTACTTAAAAATTTATGGTGTAGCTCTTGGATCGTTATCACCTTTACTCCAATTACGAGCGATAGGAAATTTTTTGTTTTCTAACGCGTCTTATTAAACCACACAGGTTCGTTAAAGTTGTTCACCTTGTTATTTTTTATTGCTTACTATAGTTAAGGTTAACATTATGACCATTCATTATATTCGTAATAATGAGAAAGCTCGTGTCTTCTTATGACATCATCAAACCTTCTTTTGCAGGGTTGAAAGTCGTCAACAAAAAAATATGTTGAGAACATGTCTGTGACCTTTAAACGACTTTCTTATTCACAACATTAAATAACATGTTCTGAAATATTCACAAAACAATTAAAAACATTAAAACATTTTTTTAATTTCTTTTTTATTTTTGGATAAAATCTGTCTTTCATTTTAACAAAAAGTTGAAAATCCTTTATGTTCCCAACATATATTTCATATCTCAAATGATTAACAAAAATGAGATAATTCGAGATTCATTAATTGCTGTTTATTATGATAGACTACCACATAAGAAGAGATTTAAAAGATTAAGAAAATATAAAAGAAAATGAAGAGGTTTATGAAGCTGGAGCCTGCTTTGCACGTGGTTTGCGTGGTTCCAAGCGAATTTGGAAGCCTTCTTCTCGTTTCAGAATGATGTCAGCTTGCAGACGGAATTGTTCTTCCGTCAGATCTGAGTGTACACGGAATTGTCGTAAGACTGTGGACAAGATGACCTTCAACTTCAACATAGCATATTTACGACCGACACATGATCTCGGACCAGCTGAGAATGGAATGAAAGCATAGTAGTGACGATTAGCCTGACGTTCGGGCAAGAAGTTGTCGGGATCAAACTTTTCTGGATTAGGATAGATCGAATCCAAACGGTGAAGTTTAAATGTTGCAACGATAACAGTTGATCCAGCTGGTACGACATAATCTCCCGAAGCGAGTTTCAATTCTTCTTTGACGTGACGAGCTATTTAAATAATTTAAATTTTATTAAAATGTTTTATAAAGTTTTCATTTATGTTTACCAATAAGTGGAACTGGTGGGTACATTCTGAGTGTTTCCATCATACATCTTTCAAGATATTTCATCTCCAAAGTATCTTGGAATGTACAAGGACGATCTGAATCTCCAAAAATTTGATCCAACTCATCGACAACTTTATCCTAATGAAATGAAATAATTTTTTCTTCTTGATTTCTTCTTTTTTTAATTCATATCATACAAACCTGAATGTGTTGATGAATTCCCATAAGAGACAAGAAGAAACTTGAACCAGCAGCAGTTGTGTCGTGTCCTTCAAACATAATTGTATCAACTTGTTCCTTGATTTCTTCATCGGAAATTACTGCACCATTTTCAGCACTTTCAAGAAGTAAATCTAAGAACGCCAAACGCTTCTTCTCTCCAATATCATTTGGTTCATCAACATCCAAATCATCTTTCAATCCTGATGATTGTCCGAATGATAATCCTTCAACAACTGTCGTCTTCTTCAATTCTTCTTTCTTGTCTTTCTCTTCAGGCTTGATGTATTCAGGTGTTGCCAATGAACCACGTGTTCCTTGTGAAAATGCTTCTTTCTTGTTTCTGATGACCTTCTTTGTCAAACTATGAATAACATCCAGCAACTTAACTTGCTTCTTTGCATATTTCGAGAGATTGAAGATCCAATCAGGATAAAGCCAAATCTTTGTGTGACGTAAATGAAGAATGTCACACATTTTCATGACAGCCATTGCGTAATCAAAGCCTGATTGATCTTGAGTTTTTCTCGATACACCCATAGCAGTTTCTGTTTGAAAGTGGAAGAAAGAGCAGTCGATATTATTTTAGATATTTATTTCTAAATCTTAAAATTTGGAGATGGTTTAATCAATTGTGTTGATTGAAAACAGTTCTTTACAAAGCATAGCAGGAAATATTTAATAAATTATTTTTAATGGAAATGAAGAATTCATCTTAATACATAAATCAATGCTCAAACTGATCATAGATGTAAGCAAGTGTAGACCGGTTACTTGTCTTTGGTTTATTGCAATTATAAGTGAAATGAAAGTGAAATTTAAGTAATATGGAAGGAAAACTTGTTGCAATTTACTAACAACTTGTCTCCATTTAGTTATCAACCAATGACCTAAAGAAAGTTGTTTTTCTTTTTGAATTGCATAATATTTGATTGTCGTAGACTCCTAAAGTTATTCCATGACACATCGCATCGAAGTCAATGTCTTATAATCTCAAAATAAGCGGGAAAATAAATTTCATTGAAGTTTTGTCTGGGATTGGAAGAGATTCTTGAACATATTTTTATTTTTATATAAGAAATGGAACACGGAAATTTAAGGAATTATGTAGCTAATTGTTACATAAACTCAAACTTGCAACTCACCCAAAAGAATCTCAACAGTACATTCGCTCATGTAATCATGGCAATCAAACGTTTTTCCATTGAGGTCACGCATTTTCTGACAAACATGTCGGCTGTTGTCGTTGAATAATTCGATGAAACTTTTAAGAACGTTGAGATGGAAAGTCGGTGCAATTAACTTGCGATGAGATCTCCATTTGCTACCTTTGTGAATAATAAAAACAAAAATTAATTCAAGTATGTAAAAATATTTTAGCTTTTTATGAAATAAGTTAAGCGTTGATTCTTTTTATTCTTCTTTTCTTTACTGAATATCATTAAATTGTGACACAGTAAAGGAAAGAATGTTCGGCATTAGAGAATATTATAGTATGCATTGCGTTGTGACAAGAATTCATTATTGGAATTTTGAAAAGAAGAAATGAAGACGAATAAGAAAAAAAGGTTTTTAATGTGACTTAAATTTATTCACAGAAGCTGAATTTAATTACCTATTTGTCAAAATTTAATAAATTGTTGATAAGAAATTTGACTTTTTTTAACTTTGAGGAAATTAAATTTCGCATAAGTCAAAGTTGAATTGCTAATTATAGAGACACGATAATTCAGCATTTCTTTATTTTATGAAAATGTTGAATGTTGGTCATCGATCGTCGACGACAAATAAGCTACAAATTAATTTCGGTGTCAATAAATTGTTCGAATCAAAAGTCAAATTTGGAACTGTCGAACGGATGTTGTTGAAGCAAGCATTAATTATATTCACTTTGTTATATTTACCTGAACTTATGAGGAGTCCATTTCCAAGCCATGGTTTGAAGAAACGATATTCAGGGGACTTATCAAGGTAAACTTGACTGCTGAGGATAATTTCAATGTCACGTGGGTCAGCCAAAAAGATGAGAAGCTTAGGGCCAGCCCAAATCTTGATAACGTCATTAAAAGGCTTTCCTTTGTTGACAAATGTCTTGAACAGAACTGAAAAAGAATAACGAAAGCAAATAAGAATCTTCTCGCATAGTGATTTCCTGCTCACTCGTCATCGAAACCGGAAAAAAGAAAAACAACGAAAATTATTTCAATAAAGAATCATTTGTTGGATTGCCCATATCATATCTTTCTATCAGCGACGTCACATTATTATCAATTTATTACATAAATATGTTCTCCATATAATAACAATGAAGAAGAAATTTTTTAAGAATTTTTGTTGAAATGTTGAAGAAAGTTTTTTGGTCACGTGTTTGTTGAAATCAGTCATATGAAATCTAAAAATAAGATTACATTCAATTTGACTCATATGCTTTACTTCTGGCGCGTCTCCGTCTTTGAAATAAAAATATCTACTCTACGTTATCATTCATCAAGTGAGCATTCATAAATCTCAATTTTGATCACTCAATGAGGTGTACATTCTCGTAGATGAGACTCTTACAGCGTTGCTTATGCATACTTGGCATTGTAAATCTGATTGAATGCTAAGGAATTTTTTAATGCTTATGTGAAACTGATGAAAATTTTTATGTGTGGTGATAGTTCATCGCTCTATTTAACTATTCATTGCATACACAACATAATCGTCGCGTCGGAGTGGTTACGCAAATGATTAAATTGAATTTGGCGAAGATCGTACGTATAGCATGTAAGGCACACAAAATTGAGTATAGGATGTTAAAAATTTAAGCAAGTAATTGAATCAGATTAAAGAAGAGACAGAGCAGAAAAAGCGACAACGATGTGATAAGACAAAATAATGGAAAAAGATATGAAATTTATCGAACAAATAGATAATATTTTGCGTACTCTTACAGAATTAATTTGTTTAAATTTATTGCTGAGAGACGTGAAGAAACTTTTGATTATTTCGCTTTGCAAAAATATTAATCACTGATAGAAAGATTACGCAATTTTAATGTTTTCGTTGATTCTGCTGTTGTTGTTTCGTTTTTCTTATGTCTAAAGACATTTCACTTGTTTGTAAAACTTACTGTGAGAAGTTCCCATTAAATCCAAAGCATTTCCAATGATTGGAAGTCCATTAGGTCCAGGAAGTTTATCAGCAAGTTCATACATACGTTTCCGCGATAAACGCCAATAAACGAACCACAAAGCAATTGCCGGAAACAGAAGTGAAAAGAAAATGGCAGTTGAAACCGATGATGTGGGAAGATCGGCGGAAACAGTTCCAGCCATTGTTGTTAATTATTTTTTTTTTGCAATTATTTAAAGTAAGAATCTATTTTGATAATTGGTCGCTATCAAGCAAACAAATTATTCTAAAAACTATTTTTCTTTCTCAAGACACTCACGATATACCGACGCGATCTAACTCAAACGAAAAGCGAATGAAAATTAACGACGAATCACGTATGGCGATCAGTTTTTATAGCCTTCCTTGTCGCTTGTTCACATTCAAAGTTTCCCATCTATCTACGCTCTTCCAACACTCTAAAACATAACTTCCAGTCGACATGTTTTGCTCCCAAAAAAGTTTGATGCATTTCTTACTTAAGCTTTCTCAATTTTTCTTTTATCAGTGTGCGAGAATTTCTATAATTTTAGACAGGTTCTTCATTTATTGCTTTTGGTCAGAAATATTTGTAAAATTATGAATGTAACTTACACGAAGGTTTAACAAACGCAGTCAAAAAAGTTCAAGTGCATGTCAAAGTGTTCAAAATTTAATTTTTAACTTTAATTTTAGCTAAAAAAAAGTTGAAATTTAATTGAATTTTTGTTTCTTTAGCATTTATGTTAATTTCCCAACTCAATTTCATTTTCATGCTCTAAATCATAAACATTAAAAATATAACAAAAAGATTTTTAAACAGAAAGACATTTTCAAAGTGAATTCGTCGATATTATGAAAACAATTTCTTTGCTTTTACATAAAAAATCAAAGTCAACATCAATTTGTTATGAGACTTCGGAGCTTCTTCAAAAAATAATCCATAAAAATTAGGTCCAGGAAGAGACCTTCTATATTTCACCTTGCAATGCATATTTAAACATATTTTGCTCAGAATATTTGCATCCAAAGTATATGTAACGATAAAATGTTTGTTTTGATTTGTTTTTTCCATTAACTATTTTCAAAATCCAATGAATTTTATTTTTTTTACAAACTTGAATATTATATTCAATTTTATTGGCTGATTTTAAGAGTTCTGGTTCAAGAATAACAAATTGTGTTCTTTTATGAGAAAAATTATCAAAGGATTGTTTTGATTCTACTTATAATAATCAATAATATTTTGATAATTCACATTAGAACTTCTAACAAAAATTAGGTAGTAATTTTCGAAACTCTCTTATAGTGCAAGTGTAAGTATGATCATCTCATAATTCATTTTTGCCAACAAGTCTTTCCAGTCATAGATTATTGGTAATTTTTGTTATTGCTGTTAAGTGTTTAAAAAGGCCGATATAATCATTTAGTATAGCATGAGAGTTTACAAGGAAACGTTTTTAACGCAGTTTATTATTAGTATCGAATAAGATGATTGATTTTGAGTCAAATAATTATAATTAAAAAATTCACTCACTTTACAAACTTCATCGTAATTTGAGTTTTGTTTGAAAACGAAAAGTATGAATTTGTCAACGATTTAAATAATTATCTAGATCAATCCTGCAAGAAGGATCAATTAAGTACTTGATATCGATTCAATCAAACTGGAATTAAGTTTTACCGTAAAATATTTGAATATATTTATTCCACCCACCAACAGATGTCGCTACTATTCTGATATCGAGAATAATATTTGTTTTCTTGAAATTCCTATAAGACTGTTGAATAAAATTATTTATTATACTTTTTGTACGATTATAATTATTTTAATTTATTTATTTTTGCACCTAAAATTGCTACATGCCAAATCTTTAGAACGTCATAATTTTAGAAATTTTATTGAATGACCTCAATTAGAAACCTTAAGTTTATAGTAACCTAATCAAATGAATCTAAATATTCATTTTCTTATTTGAATTATTTACCAGATATTCAATTGCATTTTTAGAATCTTTTATAATTATTGTTTCATACATATTAATGCAACTAATGAGCAGTAAACTATTTGGTGTAGAGTCTATAATCTAAAGCATTTTATAAATGTTTCAACATAAATGATCTCTTTGTTTACTGGTTTCGTATATTTGTGCAGTATTTATGAATCTGTTTTGGTTAAATGGAGATCCTCTGGTGTTGATTTCTGTTCGCTCATATCGACATTTGATGACCAACATCAAAGGATTCAAAAAGTGTTAACATTTTATTCCTACATTACTTTAAAGATTTATAAAAAAAAAGTTGATGAATTCGTTTCTAAAAATCACAAAACATGTAGAATCTCTACCTTTTTTGATATGAAAGAAATATCTAAATATAAAGATTGAAACCCGCTGAAAAGGATATTTCAATGAAATTACGATACTTGTTCGACATAAGTAAGTTTGCTTATTTCTCTAAATGGTTTCAATAATTGTTCAGTTTAGTTTATTAAATAAAAATCTACTTTTCAAGTTAAGATGAGCTATTTGTGTGGATTTTTTATGATGTGCTTCTTTTCTTGATGACATGGTGAAGGACACTTTTCTTTCTCTTTAACTTAAATTTCATTAATGGCAGATATTAAATTGCTTTGGAACACCAATTGTCTTTAAATTTCATCTCTATAATCATACATGGCATCTAATTAAAGTGATTTAAAAATTATTATCAACTGGAAGCGAATCATGTGTGAATTTAATAAAAGAACTTAAAGTTTACTTCATCCTAAACAGGAATTCCAGTTCTATCTTTAATCTTTCCCATGACATTAATCTGACTTTTATGATAGCCTGTACTGTGACTTTTCTTCAAAGGCATATTCGTTACCTTCTCAAGTGTGCAGATGTTGCCACTCGAACAAGCACCAGAAATTCCATTTGTTGTTACCGTCTCATGTGTTGGTAAAGCGTCACTTGAACCAAAAGTCATTGGTGAACTTTGTTGCTTGTCAAGTGGAAGCTTTCCATAACTTTCACTTCTTGTCTTCTGTTCAGGAGGTTCGATTGGGTCAGGTTTCTGATGTGAAGCTTGTCGAGTAATTCGATCAAGTTCATCATCAATCGCTTTAAACTGCCAACTCCAATTAGCACGATATAGGAATGGACGATGGTCAAACCGATTATCTAAAAGAAAAACATAAAATTTGATGATGATGAAGTTTAATTAACTCACCATCAGGACTATAGCTTTCCATATGAACCGAAGGTGTCAAAACAGTCATTTTGTGACGATTAATTGCGTAACATCGAAAGAAATGTTTAACTTTATCACTAACTTCCTTCGGTGCACATTCATTACGCCAACTGGCGACAAGTTTACAGAACATTGAATAAGGACCGCAAGCTGCTTGCTTTCTTAATCGACCAAACTCACTCAACTCACTGTAAGTCATTCCCATATCTTGTTCATCAGTTTGTGCCAATTGTCCACCTTGTAGTGGTTCAAGTTCAGCAGTTGGTGGTGCTGAAATAATCTCGGAGAGAATAGGAATATGAAACTTCTCCATTGCATACTTTAAGAATCCTCTCAAGTCAGTTTTTGAAATTCCACCAATTGGATTAACATCAGCTGATGAACAATCATATTTGGTCATATATCCACGCAATGATTCATCAACATTAGCTGAACCAAGAACTAGCAATCCACCAGGTCGATTACGAACCCACAACATCAATTGAGCGAAGAGATAAGAAAGAACCATTCGGATGCGTGCTTGAATGTTTTGAAGAGCAAGATTTTGACGAGGACAACCACCTTGAGTTCTAAATTTAGGATTTAAACCCGTCACAAGATTAAATATCGTTAGAAGAGCTGACACCGCTCCATCAATATTAATCTCAAGATGATAGCTGCCAATTTGATTTGCCAATTTTGACGCTCTTTGACGTGTTTCATTACTCGAGTTTTCACTTCCCATGTAGCACGTGACAAGCAATCGATTACATAATTCTGCTGCTTTTCTTGGCGTGTAATCGGGATCAGCAAGAATTTTGCGAACATCGTGGAGAACTTGAGCTTCTCCATGTTCAATTGCATGCACAACCATGCGACACATGCTGTGAATGATGCAAGCACTGCTGCTGGAATCAACACCACCACTGAGTGGGAGAAAGAATCCGCCTTGTCCCGAACGTCGAAGATAATCCCAAAGCCAACTTGCTGGACCTAAAGCTATTTCTTCTTCAGGACTATGATAGATCCACTCAATTGGTGGATGAGATGCTGTGAATATATCACGACGATTAGAAAGTTCAATATCGAGACTAATGCGAGGATAAAGTGGGGCTGAAGATCCGAGAGTGCAACGAGATCTTAAAGCCATTCGATAGCTTCTAATATCTTCCAAGTCAATCGTTGCTATCGTCACTTCAACATCCGAGAGTAAGAATTGCTTTCCACGAGCTACAATGTCGCCATTTAGCGCAATCGCTGAGTTTCCAGACCACCAAACTCGTTGTCCGTCACAGCCGCGAAGATTTGAAAACATGTAAAGTCCGCCAGCTTTAAATGAAGCATTTCGTATCAAATCTGTCGTGATGTGAGCTTTACGTAGTTGAATGTAACTTCCACTTCCATTCACAATAATTTCAACACCAGACAAACTCAAATCGATGTGAGTGCTTCGTGGGTTCCAAAGTTCTTCACAAATCTCATATCCAATACAAGTTTCACGTGTTGACACAACAGCGTCACCGAAAGGAACCGTGTGCTGGCCAGTCACAGCTGAAATGATTCGTGGAAGATAAAAATCTTCAACTTGACGAGGTTTCGTCCATCCATTGAACCAACGAGTTTCACGATAATTTCCATCATCACACATCAACATTTTTGGTCGAATTAGAATAATTTTTTTATTATAAAAAACGACGCGACAATTGTAAGCAACATTGAAGTGTTGAACTGGCATTCCGACATCAATCAACATATTTTGAGAGTGTGGTGACTTCATTATCTCCAAAAGAACTTCCCAACTATGTAGAAACGTGTCGGATTCGAAGAAATGGTCTTCGCAACTGTATCCACTGGAAAGATTTTTCATATTTAAGATGAAAATCAAATTTAGCAAATGAAACTTACGGAATTTCCAATTCAGGACCAGTGCGATAAACTGCACCCATCTCTCTTGCTTCTATAATCGATTGAATGATTCTGGTCATATTCCCTTCGAAATCAAGCGCCCATTGATTCAACGTGCTTACCGCCACCGTTATTTTCCGGCCCATCTTCCGGTGCTTTCTTCTCTTGTGCTTCTCCAACTTTTCCACTTCGTTTGACTACTAAAGAATTTTCTTACTTTAATTTCAATAATAAACTAATCATTTTGCTAGGAAACTTTTATTGAAAAAACAATGAAGTGGTGGAATTTATGTTCATTTATGTTGCTATTAGCAACATAGAAAAAATTGCCACGCGAAAGAGCTTTTTTGCGGAACTACTTAAAAGCTTTTTCCAGGGTTTGAGAACTTTGATCAACATTTATGGAAATGTAAACGAAATATTCAATTTGCAATGACCTGAGAATTTATATTTAGCTTAAAGCATTTCCATTCATCATGAATGTTAATTGAATCATAAAAGAACATTCTCATAGCACAAGGGTTAACATTTTTCCAATAAACAACGCAATATATCATGAAGTACAAAAAGCATACGAAAACAAAAGTTGTTTATTTGTGGTTTTCATGGCTTTTTTATTCTGGAAAAATAAATGCAGTTGAGCATAAAAAAGTTTTCAATTCATAGCATGCAAGATACAACAAGCATTAAAGTCAGATGCAAGAGTAAGTGAAAACACCTGTCGAATCACATAACAATTTCGATGTTTCTTTCCGCATTAACAACAAATTCTGTTACAGCTATGAAAGAGATATTTAGTTCCCCATAGAAAGGATTAAAATAATTGATTTTGTCGAATATGAGAACTTTCACCCCGAACGTCTTCTACCAATACTTAGTTGAACAAATGATTTCCATTTTCATGAGTCAACATTAAACCTAATCCTTGTTTTATCGAAAGACGAAATTTTTTTAGAGGCACTTAAAGCCGATTTCGATTAACTTTCATTTGCATATTTAGGCCAAATGTTCTCCTCAAAAATCGAATTAGAATTCAAGGAACTAGCTAAAGAAACGAAACAAAGGTTTTGCATTGTCGTGAAATAATAAATTTATGGAATTTTCTCCTTCTTCTTCCAAATTTTCCAACAATATTTGATTAGTGCATGAAATTATTAGAAAACATTCAAATGATTAAATGTTTTTTGGAAGTAATGGGAGCTTTCGTCGATTGACTCAGAAATATTTTTTTCAGTTCCTTTTTGATTGTGAAACGAGAAGGATAAACCTTTCAAGTGACAGAATTAGAGATTCAGAATGTTTTGGTGAGGTGAAACAAAACAGAAATTTCATTTCAAATTTTACATAAATTAAATTAATAATTGAATGCCAGTCAAAGGTAAGTTGAACTCAGTCTTCCCTTCAATTTTCTTGTCGCGACCTTCAAAATAAATTTTCTGAAGTTTTCCATAGAAAAAGTTTTCTTTATTCATTTTCTTTACTTTTTACTCTTTTGTTTTAAACATATCAAAAACAATTAAGAAAATTTAAAAGTCACAAAGAAATAAAAGAACAAACAAGTATATAATTAAGAAAGTCTGGAAAGAGAAGGATACGCATTTGATGTTTGATATTGTTTAAACCTAATAAAGTTAGAAAAAAAATCTCGACATAAAAGTTTTATAAGCTTTAAAAGTGAATTAAAGCTTTAAAGAAAGTCATGGTTGTTGTTTTAGACGAAACTTTACGAAAACGACATTTTTCATGCTTCTATTAATTTAAACGACATCGTCATGATTTAATGTTTGTTCTTCCTATAACAACTGTGCAGTTTATTTCAATTCCATATTGAATGAATGATACAAAATTATTTGTTCATTGAAGTCACGCGACAAAACTTGAATAAATAGTTTGAATTGTTTCGTAGAAAAACTACAACAACTATTCGTTTGTTAAGGTAAATCCCGTGACTAAAGACGCCATGATTGATTGCGAATGATTAAGCTTGAAGATTTTCTCACCGTCGCAGGATGAACAAAAAAGAAATGAAAGAAATTCCATTCAATTGTTTTGAGAAGTGATTTATCATCATTATCTGAAGAGTCTTGAGGTTGAAAGGGAGAAAAAAGAAGAAAAGTTCTTGTCAACTCCAATGCAAACGTTCATTGATATCGCGAAACGATTTTTTAGTAGATTGACAAAACGATTCACACAATCATAAATCATCACTCATAAATCGATGGAATTGAAGAAAAAATATTTATTCTGAGTATGAAACTACCTAATCTATTTATGTTAAACGATCGTCTACGTCATAATTCTGAAGAAATTTTTCAAATAAAAATTTTGTTTTCCACGAAATCATTGAACTTTGTTTTTAGTCAGAAAAACTCTTTCATTCGTTACTTTCTTTCCCGCACGGATGTTTCTATTTTTATAAATGACAAGTCACAAATGAAAATGGATATTAAGAGTACAAACGAACGTCAACAGTAACGGTTGAAAGCCGCACAAAGCAGAAGAGAAGTTCCGTTGCAACGTTCATTTTTTATCCTCCCCAGACAATGCTTTGACATTTAGAAGCTCCATGACATTTTTTTAAACCCACCCACATCTCATTCTTTGTTATTATTGAAGTCACATGAGATTTCATTTCATAGTTTTCCATAAAAATTCATTTTCATGTTTTATTTTAAGTTATTGCAAGCGCGTAAAAATAACAATTTCTCTTCATGTTATTCACAATATTAATAATAATAAAATTTTCTACTTTTTTTATGTTTTTGGAGGTGTACGTGAAGCTTAAACATGAATAACAAAGAAAAAGTTTTCATAGGGATTTGATTTAAAGTGATGTTCATAATGTATGAGCTTTCAAACGTTTTTCCGAACCTGATAAGCTTTTTTTTATGAAAAGTTTCTCATGTGACAGTGGAAATGAACCGTCTCATGTTGATTGTTAGCTTGTTCAAACGATAGTTTCATTTCATACTAACGAAGCAACGAGCTTCGTATCGTAGTTTCGGCTTGTTATATCTAAGTTCTTCATTTCTCTCTATCTTTCTCTGTGTGCTTTTACGACTCCGACAAACGAGTTTTTTCTTTTTTTTTTATATAAAAATACTTATTTATTAGTCGCTTTCGTTCAGTCTCGAGGGATTTTGATATTCGTTTTCGTTCTTTTCGAGAGACTTGATTAAGCATTTCGCGCTCGAGAGCTTCGATGCTCAGTCTGACTGAACAATCAGAAGATACATATCGTGTGGAAGAAACGAGCTTTCGTTGTCAGAAGAAAAACAAAGAAAAAGTGATAAAGGAAAGCGAGTCTGTGTACTTGGCATCCGCATGTGTCCTTTGATTAGTAAATTCGTGCTGTGTTTGAGATAGATCTGACATAGATATACATTCTGCCAAGAGGATTATGTTGGATTTGACGCATTAGCTAGATGGAAAAATGAAACGTATATCAGTGAATATCCACAGGAAGCTATGACACAACATTAAATTTTGTTTTTGCGTTTTCCGAAACATTTATTTCTACCACTCAAACAACAACTCAATAAAATATTCAGAGTTTGTACATTGAGTAGAAAGTTTTGAATTTAAAACAAAATAGAAAGAGAGATATAAACAGTGAGTGTTAAATGATGGATGCACCGATAAGGGAGAATTTTAATGGAGGTATGTCACTTGAACAAACATCTCAATCAATTTGTAATGAATATTTTAAGAGTCAGAGATGGATCGGATGATTCAAAATTAATCTTTATAAGAGTTGCTTTCAATGTCTGATGTTTCTGCCATGGAAGGTTTTATTCTTTATTGATAATAGTAAAATATTTACTGCATAATGAGATAAATTGTTATTAGTCAATCATCAACAATATGTATAAGATTCACTTGCTCCCAATCTTAAGCAATCATGCATGACCATGAAAACTTTATCTGAATGTAACATTAGATAACTGTACATAACTCGTCCTTTTGTCTTTTTGGATCATTAATTTGAAGAAAAACATGTTTCAAGTGTCTCTCATATGGCGAGCGTTAAATATTTTATGGACCCTTTTTCCGACCATAAAATCTACGATAAGCTGGCATGAGAAATGTTTGCCGAATCTTGAGATTCTCGAGATTGAAAGTTAACAAAAGGCGGCATTGTGTCTGAAATGGTTGGTGTAAATAAATAGTTATGGGTTCCATTCAAACCCGACACATGTGGGTTGAATGTTGACTTTATTGTTTTACCATTTGTTTATTTTATTACATTGTGATGGCGCCGCTCATTATCTATCAGAACGCCTCATCTATCTTCCCCTTGACAGAAAATCTTAATCGATGTAAGCTTTTCTTACGAGTTTACAAAAGAAAGAGAAGTTATTCGGTAGATGTTGAAATTTCTTCTCACTAACGACATTTCAAGTGCGACGTTTGATTCATTAATTATATATATAACCAGGTTATCGAATTAATTTAATTAGAAGGGAATTCTTACAACAATTCGGAAATGACATGAAAGCTTTCATTGATTGCATTTTCATGCAAGGTGTTTGCTTACGTGAGGTGAAGGTAATTGAAGTGAATCAATTCATTCGAAACGTAATCAAAAATTGCTCATCTGCTTCATTAAATCTGTTTCATTTTCGAATCAATTTTAATGCGGGTCTTGTTCAGAGGGCTGTAATTTACATCTTTTTTATAAATACATAAAGAGCGTGTTTCTCTGACTAAGCGATCAAAAATGGCTTCTTTTTGATATCATAAATTATCTTGCTAATAATATCACTTTTAACGCTTGACTTTTTCCGATAATAATTTTTCCGCTCTGCTTCTCCTTTTTTATTGTGGGGGTGGGGTGGAGATGGTAAATAACCTCATTAAGTCTAGTAGTATAAGAAAGAATGAAATTTGTGAATATAATAAATTGATAATGAGATAACTGAGAGTCTTTTGCCCCAGTCTAAAATGAAGAAAGAAATTTTCAAGAATTCTTTGATAAACGAAAACAATCTGATAGTTATTTATCTTTGCAAAAAAAGTTGTACTTTTATGGAGCTTCTTAAGTCAATATTAAGAACATTTTAATTTTCTTTTTCCACAAACATTAAATTTTAATTAGTCATTTGGTTCTATGTTTTTCTTTGACTTGTTTAAGTACATATAACTTGAAGAAATAATTAAATAGAAATAAATAAACTTTTGGACTAAAATAGTTTCATAAAAAAAATTTGAAAAATGACAAAAAGTTCAGAATTATTTACTTCAGATGACTAAAATAAAGTTGAGTTTAATCTTCAAATGCAAACAGCTTGCTTATCGGTTAATGAAAATTCAACTTAATATGAATCAAGTGATAAATTGAGAAAATTTGTGACCTGACGTTTGAAATATTGAGGTAGATGTCGAAACAGAATTGTGTTAGTAATACGCCAGTATTTGTTGAGTGTAAACCGATATTTTACAAGCATTAGACAGAATCTTGCTTGAACATTTCCATCCAAGAAGGAAAAACGTAATCTGAGAGTTCATCACCACTTCAAACTGAATATTTTAATTTTCTCAACTTCATAATGAAAATAATTAAATTTTTGATTGTTTAGTAATTCATACAACAAAAGCTTGACAAAACATTTTCGAAGTTTTTGTAAACGTATTCAACTTAATAGTCCTTTCCATTTATAAACACAAAGTGAAAATTCCAAAACAACAAAAAGGTGTTTTCGAAAGTAAAGAAAATGTTTTATGGAATTTTCGAAAGCACTAAAAATATTTTGTTTCACAACAAAACGAAAGAATTCCAGGTAACCTCTGACAACCAGCGGTGCTTTGTCGATGTTGCCATACATTGAAGGAATTCCCCGAAGCATTAACAAACACATAATAACAAAACATTTATATGTCAATGAGCTTCCTTCAATCAACGATAATCAATCATCGACGTTGCCCTCATAATCGCAAACGCTTAAATCTTTCTTACAATAAAGCATTTACATAACATTAAGCAAAGCTTTAAATATGCCAATCTTCATACTCAACATGAACATGTCATTAGCATTTGTTTCATACACCGCATTTCATTGTAACAATATTTTATTGTTATGAGATGATAAATTTATTAGTTTCGGACTTGAGATGGGGAAGAATATTTATTACAATGACTGTCCTAATAATTCATTACATAATGTTACGGATGAAGAGAAGTGTTGTTGTGGGTGGGAAAAGTTCTTTTCGTTTCCGAAAAGTTTGAGTTGGGAAAATCAATGACTTAATAGCTTTCCTAACGACGAAAACTTTTCTCAGGTATTGAATCAGTTTTTACTTTTCTCTTGCTTTTAATGAAAGCAACGACAGAAAAGAAGAAAAAGTTAGCGACAGCTGTGAAACGACGAAATCATTTGCTTAAATTATTTTCTTTAAGATTAATGCAGATGGAATATTTCTCAGTCGTTTTCTGCTTTTCATGCTCAAATAAAAGTACAAATTAGAGACAATCAATGACAGGAAATCTCGAGACAAATTGAAAACATCTTAGAAAACGAGACTTATAATATAATGTCTGTGACGTCTGATCAAACAAATTCCAAGCAAGCTGTTGGCATGACTACAAGTTGTTGCTATTCGATTTTCTATTTTCCCTCTGTCGATTTTAAATCGAATTTTCAAATTTCATCAAAAAATAGAAGGAGAATGATAATTTCATTTCAAGAACAAATTAAATTTGAAAAGTTTTAAACTTTCTTTTAATAGATGCTTTAACACTCTTAAGTCTAACATTCAAACGATATTCTCAAAACTATTTACATTCATGCGGCATTGAAAAAAGGTTTTTCCATTCTATCGGCTTTTTGTTAAGCTCATCGATGTATTTTCATTTGATTTGATTTTTTTGGGTCGTGGGAAGCGTTAGTCAGTTGCAATCTGACTTTCTGATGAAACAGTTTAGTTGGTTAGCATACCTACGAAGATTTTTTGAGTAGATGTTTTAAAACATGGAATGTTGTGAGTGTTTCGTATTAATGTTGTGTTGTTAACAATCAGTTAGTGTCGAAGGCGATTTTGTGTTCGCATGATTGTAGTGTTGAACTTATAAAGAACTTGATGATACAGTAATAATAGACACTTGACGGTGCTTGGCGTGTAATTCAGTTCGCAACGGCGAAGTTGTTAGAGACTAAACAGGAGGAAGTGTTTGTGCATAAAGTTATTTGCAGTCTCAGTTCACTGCCGGCTTTCAACGTTTTAACAGCAGAAAGTTTCAATCTCTTTAACAACTTTCAGAAGTGGAATAGTTTGTGCTATTAAAATGATACTTTAGACGTGACTCAGTCTTGAAATCTCTTCCATAAAGTGTACGAGAATGGATTGGAGTGGAGGATCACGTGTGAGCTTTTTGCAAACACAATTATTTCCAGTGTGTCAAACGCTGGCAGCAAAAGGTTAGCCTAAGTTACAAAAAAGGTCATTTGGGTCTGATTGGACTTTAAATATTTCAATTGTAAAGATTTTTATCTGTTTTCTCTTCAAACTCCCATTGCTACTTGTTTTCGCTATCTAATTTGAGACCCTCACGTAATTAGCAAGTTGTAAATCCTCCCTTGGCCAAGCTTGGGTTTAATTAATACCAAGCAAATATTCAGCTTCATTCTTTAATGACTGCGATCATTTGCAAATAATGATTGCCTTCTATAATTATTTCTCTTTTGTTTTAACGCTAGTATTTTTCTTATGAAATGGAATTCATCTCATTTAGGGAAAATTCCTAAAATTTGTTTCTTTTCGGCACAACTTTTATGCTTGCAATTTTTCTTTCATTGTTGGGAAATTGTTTTCTTACAAAACTTTTCAGTTAGAAGTATGATTCAATTTGTCTCATGATGGCTTCAAACATGTTTACTTAAGGAAAAGAGAGAAGAAATTTCGAAATATCATTTCCAGTTGTGCTTGATGTGTATGTTAAATGTTAAAAAATTCTCCGCATAAATGTTTGTTAAAAAGCTTCATCAACAGACGTAAATATTATTTTAAAACTCAAATACGAATCTGTTCATGATTAAAAACATGACTTTTATGTTCCCCAAAGGTAGAAAACAATTCGCTGAGCTAAAGAATATTTAATAAACATAAAAAATCTATTTGAATGACAAATGTTTGATAATAAATTTCCACTGAATTTCGTTATATGCTTATTTTTCTTGTAACGCTTACAGGGAAGAAAGCAGCAACAAATTTATTTTTCCCCACCCTACATCCCCGTTTTGCAAATGAAATTCAAGCAAGACGCTACACAACATTATTTTCACATAAATTCTCGGTTTCATCTCATCAGTGACACCTGTTTTTGCCTTAATTTTTGTATCAAAAGTGCTTCAGAAAAAAACACAATTTTCTATGTAAACATACGAAAATAAATTTTCTCGATTGCACACAGCGTACAAACTCTTTTGCTTCATGCCAAAACTAATAGCATGGTGAAAATTTCTAATTGAATTCAAGTTTGTTTGACAATTTTCTATCCTTGACCTCTAAATCGCGTAGAAGTTTACAATTTTCTACAAATTCATTCGAAAACATTCCTTACTTATCTCATTTACTGTTTCTTCATGCATGAAATTGAAAAACAAAAGAGAGACAGTATGGAAAAATGTGTAGCAACAAAAAAAAAGCATTGAACCAACAATTGACGTCACAAAACTTTCGTCTCAAGACTATCAATGTATATTTTCAATTGTAGACAAAGAATGCTTCGAGAGTTTTTTGACATGATGTTCCCCCAAATTTTTCTCTTCTCTTGTATTTCGGATATGCTTCATGCAAAAACAAACAGATACCTTCATAAATATAAATATCCTTGGCCTTTGCTTGTTCATGCATGAAGCTACAGCAGGTTGAAGGTTGAACAGTGTTTGGCAAGAAAAAAGAGCAAAAAGAAGATATCATTGATGTTTCGAGAAATTATCGATAACACATTATTCGCCAAATGTGAGATTGGCTTTGACTATCGAAATTTATTCTAACATGTGTTGTACTGTGAACGTTCCGATGTCTTATTTTTTTATTGCTTGCTATTTCATGGAACTTTTTTACGTTTCTTTTTTATTTCCTTGATAGGGAACAATTTTTATCAAAGAGGGCGAAATTGAAATTTTCGAATTTATATTCAAAGGTTCATGATCCACTAAAGAAATGCAAATGAAGCTGTTCACTCTTTTTCTATTTCTCGTCCAAAAGTAAACATTTAATTAAAAATAATACAGAATTAAAAAAATGGAAAGATATTTAGAGTTTCGTTTGAATTTAAATAAGATTTATGCAAACACAACGGGAAATTCAATGAAAAGGGAAATAAGGATGATTCTGTAAGGTAAATGTATCAACAGCATTGGCAGTAAAGTTTATGAAGCTTGAGAAAAAGTTTTTTTTCGCAGTGTCCAAAAACCTTGATACCTAAAAGTTAGTCTTTGTACAATCGTGTACAAATGTCTCTAGCAACTTCAGTCATGTAAATGAGGTAGAAACTTCAACTTACATGCCTTAGCTATCGTTTGCCTTAATTAGAATGTATTGGAAGATGTAAAGAACAATTTTTTTTTGTTTTGTTTGCCTTTCGTTCTTTCATTTGCTTGTTGCGAAAAAAAATTCACTCATGCGCTTTAAGATTTTTCCGAAAATGAAAAACTTTTTCTCTCTCGATTTTCTTGCTCTCAAAAAGCATTCACAGAATATTCGCGTAGAAATTGCTGAAGCAGTTAGTTGGCAATTTCAGCGATTTGAGATCGGTTCGCATATACAGAACTAAAGCGAATTATTCGTCACAGTTAAAGAAAATATTGAATTGTTGATATTTTCTTTTGGATCTTCTATCGTTCGAAGTCGCGCGCGAACTTTTTTTATTTTTTTTCCAATTCTTTAGTGGTTTTTCATTGTGAGAAAAGAGATTTATTGCTTGGCTATTTTTCCCCCAAAAGTAACAAAAAAATAAAAAATTGAAAAGTTGTTTTTACTTCGTCAAAGAGTAATAATATTTCATGTGGAAAATCGCTGTTCATAGCTGAATAGTTTTTTATTCAGTTTCTTCCTATCACTCAACTGTGGTATTCCCAAAACTTGTTGTTGTTGACATAACAAAGGAGAACGCACACTGATATTTCCCTGGTGAGTAAACGCTATCTTGTGAAATCAAGATGGGACATTTCTCTTATTTTTTGCTAGAAAGTAAATGATAGGAAAGAAGAGAAAAGTTTTTCTTTTCATCGGATAAACATAAAAGAAAATCGCTAAAATTTTCTATCATAAAAATGAGGAGAAAAAAATATAAGAAATGAATGGAAAGGAAAATTTGTTGGCTAAGCAAATAAATAATTCGTTAGAATGAGAGTCTCTTATCGCTTTGGGGATAAAGAATTAGTAAATTCTACCAGCACTGTACTAACATCCATTAAGCCTACAAAAATCCTCTGGAAATAAAGACAAGGAATAAATTGCCCAAAGGATTTCTGCCTTTTGATAAATTGATAAAAAACATTCCCATTCATCTTTTTTAATTGCCAGTGGGTCTTCCGAACACAGTATGTGGGGCTGCTTCAAGAGCTAAACTTAGTCCTTTCTCGTTATTAAAAATTCTATCTTTATTCGACCCTCTTTGTAGAAATGGAATCCGCATTTGTCGAGCTCTGTTGTTGTTAAAAATATTTCGGTTAAGCGAGAGCAACAAAGAGCTTCAAAAAATTCATGACACGGCCGACTTGTTCTTGTTCGTTATTAAGTTTCCTCACAAGCTAACAAGAATTATTTCTTATATAAAATCTGTGATCTTGCATAGTTGAGCTTGAACAGGGAAGGAAGGAAAATGTCGACAAATTTAAACTGAAGGAACATATATAAATCTACAATAAAATAAATCATGTCTTGCCATAAAGATTTTTAAAGTAGAATCATAAAAAAGAAAACTTTCTCTTGTGTTACATTACGATTGCATTTCCTAGCATCCGAAAGGATATGAAGTAAAGACGGGACAAATAGGAAATGCTATTATTTATCTTATTATCTACAATGAAAAGAAAAGGTCAGAAAGCATCTTTGAAGATCTTCTTGAAGTGGAAATATTTGGACAAAGAACTTTTTCCAACGACATTGTCATTAATGATCTCGATTAATTTTAAAGCTTTTGAAGCAGAAACTATGTTGAAAGTCATTATCCCTGGTATTAATAAATTTTCATGAAGAGCCGTAGCAAATTTTAAGACGAGATGAAAATCTCAACAAAAACTTCATGGTGAATATTAAAAATTAAATTGTTCCGTGGGTCACGATGCGAAACATTATTACAGCTTTTAATTATCCTTTTTTACGAGAAAGAGTGAGAAAAAACAATTTTAAGTGGTCATTACGAAAAGTAAAAATATTTTAGTACATTTCTTTTCACTCTTATTAAGCGGGGGCGTTACAAAAGCAATTCGCTTGGCAGCCACTAACAAAACATCAAACTACAAAAGCAAGAGAGCGAAGAAAGAAGAAAGCATGGAAACGAGCACAAAACAGTCGCGCATAATAATTTGTTTAATATTTTGTTTATATCACATTATACACATGCATAAATATTCCATACATTGTCTTCGTAAGCCATGAATAAAATTGCATAAGAGCAGACTGGCACATTGTAGCAGCAGTAAGGGAAAGAATAAATTTACTCTGTTACGTACAAACAAACATAGTTGCATCCTTAACATGATGAAGCTTAATACATTTAATGGATGTTTCATGGCAGCTTGTTTCAAGAGCTTTCCCAAGGGCTTCTTAACGTACAAAGAAATAAAGGGGGAAACCACTTAAAAGAAAGAAGACAAGAGAAAAAAGTTTCTTTTTTCCTTCTTAAGAAGATAGAAATCCTTAAGGGAGTTTTTGAAATGTTCATTCATAAATTTCTCTTGATTGGCTGAATAACAACGAAAGTTTCCTTATTTTGCAGCCCTTTGAAACAGGAAAAAAAAGTAAAAAAGTTAATTTTAAACTTTGCAAGATTTCAAAAAAAAGGCATAACAAAATGTGTTTACAAAATAAATTAAAAGTCTCATAGAAAATTTGAATGGAAAATTCATTTTTCATGACTTCATTTAAGTTTTGATTTTTAGTTCTTCGCGAACAATAAAATATGCGAATTTATGGCGATGTCATTGCTCTCAATAAGTTTCTTAATTTATCGGTAAAAGCTTTCACGAGTTCACACAACTTTATTGTTAGAAATGTTGATGACAAAAACTGCTCAACATTTATTGCTTTGAGACTAGGCAGTAGAATCATTGCACGTAAAATGTAACTTGCTATCGATTCACATCAAGGGATTAACTTAGCTTGATATAATCCAGAGGCTTTCTAACATAAAGTTTTATTCAAACATGAGTCAGAAGCAGGTTTATCCTTGATGCCGCATTAAATGAGCTTGGAAAATATTCTTTCATCATTAAAGCAAGAGAGAGGAAAATTTGAATTAAATTTAGTAGCGCTTCGAAAAATAATAAAACTCCGAAATTCTTTTCTTTATCATAATATCATATTATGGATTCATCATGAAGCAAACCCGGTGAGATTTTTCCGCTTTCTAGGGAAATATTTTTACCTTTCGTTCGCCAACGCTTTAATGTATGCGAACAATAAATTGATCCAAAGATCATAAATCATCTTAACATCCGTGAACTTCTATTTTACTTTCCTACCTTTTCTCACCAACAAATGTTTAAAAAAACCTACGTTTTGGTTTTTCATTTCCCTTATTACGTTCATGCATATCGCACACGATGAGATATGGTTTAGTCAATGAATAGAAAAGATGTTCATTCGCATTAAGTCGAGCAGTCGGAAATGAAATGGAATTCCTTTTCGTGATTCAATCAAAGGAGATATAAAAATCTTTTTCATTCCGTTATCTTCACGCAAGTATTTCGACTTCTTTTTTTCCCTGACAAATTGAAAGCGGAAAATAATAATCCCATCCCTTACTTCTGCTTTTAGTAGGTCGACTTTGGAAAAAGGTAATAAAAGTAATTTTTATCTCGATATTTTCATCGTGTTTCCGTAGCAAATCCTTTGTTAAAATATCTTAAAGTTGGGAACGTTCGTTCGACACTAAATACAAGTCAGATCTCCACAGACTTTCTCCTAACAACAGTTTTTGTCTGCTTGATTTAATAAGAAACTTAGAGTAGAGTCATCTAATTCCGACCCATTCTAATTCCGTTTTGAAACTTCTTCAGATGTTTATGACTGATTGTATTAAAAAAGATTTTTTTTCAGATTTTTTTCCTATCAATCAGATGTTTATCTTTAATATTGCAAAGAAGATTGTTTGTAATTTCTTCTTGTCTTACATCAAATTGATGTTTGTCAATTTTATGTATATTTTGACTGTTTTTGACTTTTAAACTAGTTTTTAAACAGCGATTCTAATACTTTGCTAAAACATTTATTTCAAATCTATTGATGCAAAGTTACGGCAAATTTAACTAACTTTCACATCCTGGAAAGTTTTTTGCAAAATCATTTAAATATATTGAGATATGAAAAGATCTGTGGAAGAAGAAAACGACATAATTCCGTCTATGGAAGGTATCTTAAAACCGTTCGAAATAAGTAAATTTAAAACCGATAATTACATTCATTAATGCATTCTTCAATTGTTTTTGAGATCAACAACGATTAAAAAAAGAGATTTCAATTCATCAATGAAATAAATTCTCAAATTTTTTGAGAGTTGAAAACAGATCTCTTTTGTTTTAATCCTTAATGCGTGCCTTTATTTTACCTTCATCAGTGTTTTAACCTTCACTCTCCAAATTTTTTTCGAAATTAAGTTTATAAATGTCTTCTACTTGTGTAAAGCCAAAACGAAAAAATCGTGAAAAATACAATTTAAATGACCTTAATGAAGCTGTTAATTTAGTTAAAAAAGGCTCCATGACAGCATGTAATGCTTCAAAGCACTATAATATACCATTGACATCTATTAAGGATAACGTGAAGGGCATTTGGAAATCAAACAAAATAGGAACTCCTAATTATTTCACCAATGAAGAAGAAAAAGAAATTGCTAGTTGGTTACTATTATGTGCTAAAAGAGGATATCCAAGAAATCGAAATGATGTATTAAAAGCTGCTGAGGATCTTCTTACGTTAAAGCGGAAAAGTAAGAAAACTCTTAAGGTAGGAAAAACATGGCTTAAAAGATTCCTTCAAAGAAACAATGAGTTATCATTTCGAATCGCATCAAAAGTACCAAAAGCCAGTGCCATTGTATCAGAGTCAAATATAAGAGGATGGCATCAGCAGATCACACATGAACTTACGAACGAAAATGTTATCTATATAATGCAGCAGCATCCCGAATGCATTTTTAATGGAGATGAATCAGGATTTAAATTAGTTTCTACTCAGAATAAAGTGATTGCCAAGCGTGGATGTCGATATGTTTTAGAGATTGCTCAAGGCCAGGAAAAAGCTTCAGTTACAGTAATGTACACAATATCAGCATCTGGAATGTTGATCCCACCTATGATTGTGTATAAAAAAACTTATAAGATCGTTGATATTGCAAGAAAAATGCCAGGTAAGATTCAAAGCCCATTGTCTCTCTAAACATAAAAATATATTAAAATTTTATGAATGAAGCTTTCGAAAGCTTTCGTGGAAGGAAAAACGAAAAACTGGAAAAAATTAATTAAAGCATGAACTGTAAGATTTAGCTGTATGGTGTGTTTGGGAAAGTTGTTCCTCAAGTTATGTTGTAACTTTTCTTGGAACATCATATTCCAGTATCTCGGCACCAGATGTCGCAAAGGAAGGAAAAGGAAAAAATCAGAAAATTTAATTGCAGCATGATCTTCAAGATTTAGCTATAAAGTGTGTTTGAGAAAGTTGTTCCTCAAAACTTGCCACAACTTTTCTCCTTACAACATATTTCGATGGGATGACACCAGAGGGCGACAGAGGTGAATTTTTTTTAATTTTTGATTCATTCACCTCTGTCGCCCTCTGGTGTCATCCCATCGAAATATGTTGTAAGGAGAAAAGTTGTGGCAAGTTTTGAGGAACAACTTTCTCAAACACA